CATGCAGGGGTGTTGATATCCATGGAAATGCTTCATTGCGAAAGAAGAGGCTGATGCCAAGCAATCAACTACAAGAATCCAAAGAGCCAAAGGAAGCAGGGACGCCCAGGGTAGATATTTGCAGACACGGCACACTCAAGTGCATAAGCGGCCATGCCCTAGAAAATCATAGTCGACTTTAATATATGTCAAGCGGGCCAGTAGATTGCCTTGCGAAGCGGCTCGATAGAATCTTCGGCATTCCTTCCAGTATCCTGCTTTAAAATACGTCCCAGATAATTCGCTTTTCTTTGACGCACCAAGACTTGCAAAGTCATAAGTAGATGCAAGATGATACCATACTGTGAGTATCTGTGATACCTGACCGGTGGCAGCATCTTTCTTAACTTCTTGAAGGAAGGCTTTTGTATTGCATGCTATGAATAATTCTACAAGGACAGCCAGGGGAGTTCCCAAGACAGGTGTATGTACCTACGGTGAGAAGACGCCGCGGTGGGGTAATTTGGGGTAGAAGAAGTGCCATACTTAGTTCTATACTGAACATGTACATGTACCAGGGGCTGAGCATCATATCTCAACACCCCTCCAGGGAACAAGGTTGCTGAAGTTCTATACCATGTCGAAGACCTCCGTCGGAAATGGTGTTCGTGGGGGTGGATTGGGTTAGCATGACGTTATTTTTGGTCCTTTACGTCTGGCTGCGATCTAGAAGGTTTTGTTCGTAGAGCGCACTGCAACGCCGCGAGCTAGCCCATTACAGGCGATGCAGCCTATCACATCCATGCGAACGATCCGATCAAGCGAATGCTTGTCTGCTAGAACTCGCGGGGCGGCCTGATAGTTTTAATATGCTTGAAAAAGAACAGAAGGATTCTCAGCGCGTTTCAAGGAGACTGGAGAGGGGAGCAAAATCTGGTTAGATGGACCAGACCCAGGTGAACGGAGATCTTGATCGGCAAGATCCAGGTGTGCACCTATCCGGGACATAGGTCCCCCTCTGCCGCTCTGGATACAAGAAGAGACAATTAGCAAGACCGACGAATGCCCTTCAATGTTCAGATCAACCCGCAAAAGGTTCATCTTGGGAAGTCGCTAGTTGTATTTTGCCTCGAAGCGACCGAACGTGCAGCATGCAAATCTGCCGGAGCCGATGTGGGCAAAAATAGCATCAGCGGCTAATTTTGCGAAGAACATTGGTTGGAACTTTCCATCCCGCGTCGCCCACCTCAAGAGGCACTGGCAGGCCTGACCTGACACGTTTGTGAGCCGAACACCTTTAGGACGGACTTGATTGATATGATTTCAACAATACGAAGCTATGTTCATGGCAGCCTTGGGCTCTAGGGAAGCCTGCGAGTAAAACATATTCTCTGAGCTCTAAAATGATAATTAGCTTACATAGCACGGCCGGTGCACGAATCAACTTGAGCCGGATCTCGCGGGCTTCAATTCAGAGACCTTGTTGACCGATATATTCCCATTTTGCTCCATAGAGCGATTGTTGGTGGAACGATTCAACTCGAGCCACTGCACTTAGAAGTCAACGCCAACCTGGCCGCGGCGATCTGAAAATGCAGCTGCAGGGTCCGGATATAGAAGTCTGTTCCCTATATAGAAATGATAATAAAATCTCCGATGCATGCACTGGCTCGCTTCCAGTCTTCCCCTCTGCCTGGTTCGATAGATACATCATCTTGAACGTTGCATTGGCTAAGGACATTAGCTTTCACAGGGATTTATATTGACATCGTCAGCCTGCCCTGTCCTAGTCGATCTGCTCCTATTGCTTGCTCACTTTAGACAAGAAGTACTGGCGTTTATCAACACAGATGCGCCGCAATCCTGGCCGTGGCCGAGCGGAAGCCAATGGTTTCGCATTCATGATGACCGAGCTGATCTCACAAGCGCTTTAGACGAAGTTTACCCCAAGAGGTTCAGAATGACAGTAAAGAGAGGTATAAAGCTCCAGATTATAAGTGGTATACACGATAACGTCGGATATGTCATCCCTGCTCGACCGGATTGCAAGCTGAGTAATTAGTCGCTCCTGACATCTTCACGACAATCCTCCTGATCAAGTTGCTGTCAACTGTTTGGGGATTTCGTTCCATCAGAAAACCCTATATCCCGACGAGCGGCAGCTCTCCTAATATCATAGAATTCATCGACCCAGGCCCTTATTTGCGCCACTACTGCGTTCTGCACAAATCTCACGTCCTCGTTCACTGCACCGAAGTCAGCTAGCAGATCCTGACAGTGGGTGACGTTCTTTATGAGGAAGACAGGTGCTTGCTGACAAGACTCCAGCGGCCCACCTGGCCGAAACACGCTAGAGACCGAGGCTGCCCGCCATGGGTCAAACTCACTTTGTTTCTTTAGCTCTATGACTTGCTAGATATCGAGGGAAGAGCTTACCCATTGACCCATAACAGGCGTTTCGTGTCGGTCAGAAACCAGCCCTTTGTTTGAGCATTTACATCTTCAACAGTCTTGCCTCTTGCTGACCCGAAGGTATATTTGCCCTTCTGTGGGAAGAAAAGGCTGCATTGTCGTTGAAAATAGTCTGCGGTTATGAGCCGGGACAGGATCGTAGGGCGCCCCCTGGGATTCGAGCTCTGCCAATAACACAAGGGTTCATTGCAGAGAAACCACATCCATGGACGAAATGGATTGTCGGCAGACCAGTCTGTCATTATCGGGCTGGTCTTATTGTAGGAATCGAAGCATGCCACAGACAGTGTGTCGTTCCAATCGCTGTACCAATACTTTTGGCAATCTACAGGAGTGATTAATGATGACGGACGCAATGATGGAGGTCGCGACATACAACGAGGAAGGAATTCGTTTTTGAACCAGTTGGCAAATGCTGTTACAGCGATGTCGTCCGCCTTTATACCGCCAGAGTAGGGATACGGAGCATTGCGGGTAAAGTTCACTCCTTGAATGACGTCGCACATGTCATAGAACTTACTATGCTCGGTATTCACACCTATCATCTGCCAAAGACCGAGGGGTGAAGATATAGCTCTACTAAGCGATCAACATCGAGCACCGTATTGGAGATGGGGGTACTCACGAAGCGAAGTCATCATGATGCTTCAACTCCTTCAAGCCAAACTGATCCTTCAGTCTCGTGATTTCTTCATCACTACCATATTGCAAGGTCTTGTCGACATAATGAACAATTCGACTCAATCCAACGCTACATTTCTTGGGCATTCCTTCAACTATCGGTTGATAGTAATTGTGGTAATCAAAGATGGCCTCAACCGGAGCACTGCTAGCGTGATAGGCCCAGAATGTGCCTGGAGACAAATGCTCAACCCATGCCGACAATGCTCCTGCGTAGCTACCTCCTACTAGTACCCATGGCTATGACTCTTGGTTAATTATGGCGACAGGTCTGCCTGTTGAGGAGCTTACCACATCGGGAGCGTTCGTGGAATTACCAGCGTCGAATGGAAGTTTCACAGTGCGCGCAAAGTGCACAAGGTCGGCAATAGAGTTCTGCAGCGTCAGGTATTGGAGAGCCTCAGTGTCCTGCACTTTGAACGGCGACGACTCTCCGAAGTATCGGTCTATGATGAAGGTAAGTTTCGCCTACCAGGCTATATAGCAATGCGTTCTGTCTCACGCTCAATGACAATGGCAGCACCATTGACGGCTTGTGCCTCCATGCCGCTGATCGCTTCCTCAGTCACATATCCCTCATATCCATCCAATGATGTTTCACCTGGTGTATACAATACGATCTAACAGGTGTCAATTATTCATATCACATGATTTCCGATATAGACTGCGCTCACCGGCGATTCCGGTCCTCCCCAGAACGTGCTGTTCCATATGTAATGCTGTGAAAAAGTTCCGGCACTGTGATTAGAGTGGTCGATATACTGCTCGAAAGTTGCCCTGCCAGCTTTCGCAGAATATGCCAGCTGTCGACGCAAAGGTGGTGGCAAGGCAGAGAGACGCCAGTTGGTCGCGCCATTGACAGCATGCAGAGAATAACACAAGCAGACAAGGTGCCTTAAGAGTGAAGTATTCATCTTGAGAGGCCCGAGGAGGGATTACATGCCTGGACTATGATAGATGTAATGCAGGAAAGAACAAAGGAGAAACCTTGGGCAATATTTACTGCCGGTGAGGGAAATAGTTGCATAGTAGTTGTCAATGGAGACCACCGTCGACGGCCCTCTATAAGAAAAGGGCGTTGAGGCGGGAGGTGCTTCGGCTTGTGCAGTGGTTGCTAAGTCAAAGAGTACTACTAGGTACACTACCTCGAATGTCCAGCAACGCAAGTAGTTGGCAGTGGAAAACATGGCGCGGAGAACATCACGGCCAAGGATGGAGCTCGACGAAGGAAACGAGTGGCACCAATTGGAGAATGGAGCGGCGGACTAGAGACGATATTGCACATCCAGGGAGGGCAGGAGCGCTTGGAGCACGTCACCTAGGTACGCCTTATCGGCGGATCTCAATTGAGTATCTAGCATTAAGCCGGACAGCCCTTGCTACAGGTCGGCAAAATTGATGTCAATATAACCAAGGTAGGCAGACAGGCAAGCACACTCCTCTTTGCAAATCCGGGCAGTAGGACGATAGGCAGAGGTGGAAAGATTCAGATAGACGCTTTATCCCTTTCAGCCAATGCCTTTTCCGATCGCAGACAGCCCAGGAGAAAACAGATTGAAAAGGTGGCGAGATGGAATGCGATGGATCCTGAATAGCTGATCACTCTTAGAGCATTTGAATGCCACTTAGCTTACCTATACGAATGTCATCAATGGGCTGGTTTAAAGATGCCCAGCTGGAGGTACTCTCTTCATCTTGAGCCGTGGCACCTGATAAGCTTTGAAAAACATCACGTGCACAGGCACGTGCGTTGGAGCAATCGCGGCTACCGGAAAGTCGGTTGCTTTGGAGCATCACTCCCGACAGTACTGCAATCCGCACCTTCAAAGACACATTAATCACCTGCCAGCTGCCCAATTACCCCCAGAATGGCGCTCGGAAGCTCAGTTGAGACACCGCGGCGTTAGTTCTCACCAATTAACCCCAGATCTCGAGACTTTCAACTGACAATTCTTACAGCCGCGACCCGCGAGGAGATGAGTGCCGCGAAGCTACCGCTGGCCTACCGAGACAACTGCGCACACCTCCTGATCCCTCTGAACCGGTGTCGTTTCGAGACCTACTACCTTCCGTGGAAATGCGAGGTAGGTTCAACTAATAACTGCGCTGTGACTGGGGTGGATGTTCACGAATTGATGTCAAGGATGACCGGTGGTTTCCCTATGAGTGAAGAGACCTTCGTGCTGACACCCTTCTTTGAACAGAACGAAAGACACACATACGAGAAATGCCAATACGACGAATTTAAGAAGCGAGTAGCAAAAATGAACGAGCTTAGAGAGGCGAAGGGTGGCGCAAGGAGCAATTAAGGCGTTCAAGCCTGGGGAGCAGCTCTTGGTGCTACTCGTGTATATATGCTCTGTAGGACTTTGGACGATAGGGGCGATACAATCAGTCAAATAGACCAATTTCGACGCGATCTACGCTCTAGGTCTCCCCTAGGAGGGTACATCTGTGCCAAAGGCAACTGCACGCGATCGACATGCTTGACGATAGAGGGTAACGGGATAAACAGCATCTGGGTGGCATGTCTTTGGTCTTTAAGAGCCTTTGGATCATTCGCAAATTACATTGATGCGTGCCCTGCACGACATTCCACTCCCGAATGGGGGCCTCATAGGGCCCTTAGCCCATCCAAGTAGTTCACTAACCGTTTCTTGATAACGACACCCAGAACCTCAGCAGTCTCCTCTTCAGTTATGATAAGATACCGAAGACCGAGCTTTCCAAACATCTCGACCGCATATTCTATAGGAGCTTTCGCAGAGAGCGTGAGGGGACTTCGGTCTATGAAGTCGGCAAATACACCCTCAAAGAGATCAACCTCAGCTTCGTTGCCGTCAGTCGTCTCGATTTGGTCCACCGTTTCCAGAGCGAACTCCAACTCCGCCTCCGGAAGATAGCCATGGCAAATGCCATGATCATTAACAAGCACAAGTCCTGCATCCATGAGCCCGCGAGCTTTCAACTGGATCAACTTCTGCTGCAGTGTTTCCCGCTTCACGCGGAAGTTCGGCCCCGTATGGAGGGTAATTTCAGACATGGTATTTGAGGGGGGTATAAGCTCTTCTACGGTCCCGGTGCTACCGCCTGTTCGTGATGCTCGGACACAAGACAATGCATGTTCGGCATCGAGGAATGGGTGCCCCAACAAGTGCTGGGACAAATCGTAAACAGACTCGGAACTGATGGCATCAGCAACCCACTTCGACGTCAGAATGGCTATCATAAACGGAGGGATAAAGTTGACTTCGCCGGTCAGCTCGAACATGATCACTGCCAGGCTCACGGTCATGCGAGACACGCCGGCGAGAAACGCTGCCGAGCCTACCATCGCAAATATGCCTGGCGAGATATTGGGCACAAGCTGACCGATCATTCGTCCGAACAAAGCGCCTGCATCGAGAGCTGGTATGATGATTCCTGACGGGACTTTGCACCCAAAGGTGATGATCGTGAGTAGAAGTTTGGTCAGTGTCCCGGTGATCAACCACGCATAATATCTCCTCTTGTCCTCCATATTCTCTTGCTGGCACACGTATGAGTCATCACCAGGATCGTTACAATCCACTAATAACTCGGACATGACGATGTCTCCTGTAGGTCGTATCAACCGATTCGGATATTGCAGGAGCGCTGTTACAAGCACGACAAGGAAGACCTCCAGGACCGGATTGGTTTTGATGACGGAAAATTTACGAAAGAACTTGGACCATCGAAAATTTGCCTGGCAGAACACGCCGCCAAAGACTCCGCCACATACACCAAGAAGTATGAAAACAATATAGTGGACAAAGTCGTAGTCGATCCCATAGTTGGTTTCGAAGAGGACTAGCTTGCCTGTTCCGGTGGGATTGAGCTCTTTGAGAGTAGCAGCGGCTACCAAGGAGCACAGGAATGACTTCCACATGACGCGACGAGGAAAGTATGTGCTTATCTCCTAGGCTATCGTTAAGGAGATACCCAGAGCAAAGTGAGCTGGTAAACTTACTTCATAACTGAAGAGCACTCCGCCAATGGGAGCTCCAAAGGCGACTGATAAGCCTGAAGAGCACGCCACGCTCAGCATCTCTCTCATCTTTCGCTCGTTGTTCTTGTACTTGGGGAACCAGACTGCCACAAGATGCCCCACACATGTCGAAATGTGCACGAAGGGGCCCTCTTTCCCGAGACACATGCCAGTAGCAACCGCGAAGGTTGCACCAACGGCCTTGACAACAAGGACCTTCAGATCGAGGAAGTGCGGTATCACGAAACCGGACAAGATCGTTTTGATCTCCGGTATGCCACTACCAGCAGCCATGTACATCATCTTGCCAGTCGAGGTCTCAGTGTATTGTTCTTGTTCTGGCTCACCGTTGCTCTTCAAGTCGAGGTTGTCAACAGCGGGTAGATTCGAGCGAGTGAGTAGCGTCACGCTTCCCGCAAGAATGCCATATGCCAATGCAAAAGCTACATAGATGCCATAAGATCCACCGTATGATGTTTCCCATGGCTTCCATGCGTGGCAAGTATCGATGCCATTGGGTTCGAACATGTGCTCTGTCGAGTGGCCGGTGAACGATTCACAGCATCGATTCCTGTCAAGCCACCAGCCGCGACTGCACCATCCTTCTTTCCAATCTGCCACTGTTGCAACGCTTACATCCACCACAAACGCAACGAGAGCAGTGATCAGACCGATGAGAGTTGCAGCAACCCATCCTTGGGCCAGATCCCACCATGACGCAATTCGACCCCGCCAGTCATGGCGTGAATGAAGTCTTCGGTATCGCACTGAATCTTTGACTAAATCATGTAGCCAGTCAATGGTCGTGTAGTCATTGTAAGGTAGACGCTCGCCAACGGAAGTGCCATGCAGAGCACGCTCGTCCTTCGATATGATTGATGAATATAGCGACTCGACGTCACCGTCATACTGCGAGTTGTGCACTTCGTCATGGCGAGAGGGAGCTGACGGTCGCCGGCCTGAATTGAGAAGGCGGGACGATTCATTCGGAGACTCATGAGCAGCCATTGGGGGAGAGTACACGCTTGTGCCGGCCTTGACAAAGGCGTCACCACGGGGCTATGGCAGAGCAACAAGTTTGCGCATGCTCCTTCGAACGGATCATTGTGAAGCTTTCCCCGCGCGGCCTTTGCAACTCTTCTCCTTTTGGTCCTGGGTTGTCACTGGCTTATCTCCCCCAGCCACAAGCCTGACATCACTGATGCAAGATCTCAAAGATAAGGCATTGAAGATAACGCTAAGGCACCTTGGTCTTCGGGGCGTCACCTAGGTAGGTGGGCGCGGGTCCACGGAGCCAATAGCATGGCGCTCATGCGCTTGAAGCGGTAGCCCAGGGATTTCCGTTATTTGTTAAGTGTCCAGGTGTCGATATCTTACATCTACCCGATCGTGGGACCGGCAGAGGTAAATCAACTATCTTGGCCAGACATAACTCGCCTTCACGAATTCGATACCCATGAATAGTCTCATCGAAGACGGTTGACAGTATTGGTTCATTTGAAGAGCGTTTTGACATGCGGGCAAAAGTTGAAGACATCAAATGTCCCCGCGTCTAAAAGGCCACAAATATTATCTACGAAAAATCACGGACGGCCATCTGGCGAGTTCTGAGTGATTGCAGAATAACTACTCTCTTATTAATTTTAAGGTAACTGGATATCTTCATAGGCGGGTATGAAACACCTTCGCTTGTGTACTCCAGGACAATTGAACAGGACGCGCCGCGTCGTAATGATATTTTGTTCAAGGAGGAATTTACCTAGCTATTGTCCACAATTGAGGTGACCTGAAACAGGTGCGTGCTGAGAAATTGTGGGCTGCCGTTGAGGAGTTTCGCATCCGGCAGTGGATAGAAATAACTACTTGCAATCAAGCATTGCCTCTGGTAGGCTCTCCTGCTTCCAAGGTGGAGGTATGAACAGCCGCTGAGCACCGAGCTTCTCGTATCGACGCCTGCTGCATAGCAGACAGTGGTAATTTAGGGGTACTTCAACAGCCGGCTGTTTCGTTGCGAGGACTCGGATAATCCCACAGGATCTCAATGGCATTGTCTCCCTTTGCCAGCGAGATTGCGATCTCCAGGTCGTATTCCTGAGACCCGCCCGCCAAGGCTCCGGGAAAGGGATGCAACGGTCGCGCAAAAGACATTCTATGATGTGCCACCGGTACTTATTGATTGCTTTTCGCAATTGATGCGGTGCATGTTACTTCTTTGCATCGTCGAGCACCGAAGCCGTCCAGCCTCCGCTTTCTTGGATTCCCTGTCTTACGCCCTCCCGCCGCCGTCCCTAAGTGCCAAGCCCGAAAATGCGCGCTGCCGCCCTACCGGCCATCTCGGCCGCCGCCCTTGCAACGGCCGCTTCCGCCATGAAGTTTAATGTGGCGCATTTCAACGCAGCTGAGCTAAATTACACATGGCAAGGTCTCAATTGGAGTGGTGGATGCGCGAGATCAGGGTGCTATTATGGTGCGTTGTGCATTGCCTACTATCCCATGATGGAGTCCCCTAACATTCTAGGCAGATTTCAACATTACAGGTCCAGCGAGAGGTGCAGGAGTTCCCGCCTTCCTGGCATATTGCAGTGGCGGCGTTGAAGGGGCTCCTTTTGACCAATGCGAAGTTCTTGACGAAGGCGATACAAGTCGTCGAGTAGCGGCCAAATTACAACCCGTGAATACCACAGGCACTGGAGCACACCTCGCTGTCAGCTACGAATTTGCAGACCCTGTTCAAGTGTAAGCCCTCTGAAATGAATCAACTAGCTGCAGAATGAAACCAACTGATCTTTGTAGGGGAACATGGTGGAACTACACGGGTTATACCACATTGCCTTATAATCAGTTCGTTTCCCCATTAATAAACTTCACTGTAACTCCTTCCGAGCTGTTTGGAGTAGCATAATTAAATGAGAGAATAATCTACACGTTTCATGGCTCTTTCTTCTTGCTATCTGCTTGTAATCTAGTGAAACTCTGCTGGTTGATGTATATTGTGGACACATCTCTGGCGATATTTTTGGAACTGAGAAGTTTTCCCCAGGCACCTTGATGTGTCAGGATCTATACTATGCATACTTCGCATTCTTGAGACCCCTGTATGTGTCGAGTTGCTGGTGCTTCATCAATGCAAAACCTGAAGCTTAGTGCATTCCGATGGCATTCCTGGTCAAGCGCCTGCACATCGGAACTGGCGGCCGCCGCAATACGCAGCCCGGTAAAGAGCCTCATGTTGTCGGCACTACACAGGATACTACATGAGGCTCGACGTTGAAGTCTATTTGAACGTCATTAGACTCTACTCTGCAAGCACGAGCTGCTCATTGTTCACAAGAAGGTCCCGCGGGCCTTCCTTGGAATTGTTCGCATCCCATCAACGAATGCAATCACTCGGCCATTGGACAATGTTGCTTAGTGAACTCCTGAAATACACAATGCTTTATCTGTGTCTTCTTATCTCTTTGTAATCCCCCTTCGTTCAGACGATCGTCAACTTTTACTACCCGCATCCACCTGGCTTGACCCAACCATATAGAAAATTTTGAAGCCACTCTTGTCGTTGTCATGAAAGAATTGACCTTGTTTGAATGAACTCGCAGAGACCTAGTCATCTACACTACCTGGATGCGCACTGAATGGGCACTGGTGCCATTGCCTGACGAGCACATGATTCCAAAGAAAGTTGTGGCTCATTCATCAACTGTCCTTTGTGGCTAGGCAGCGTGGCAAGCCAAGACCTCAGACCTAGATGAGCTTCCAGGTAAAATACAAACTATTGAGAAGCCTCGACTGAGTTTCAACTGAAAGGGAAGGTATAAGAAAGCCGAGAACTGATGCTTGACAAGCAGCTTCCCGTCCGGTCGGGGGCTGGGAATATGATGACAAGCAAGAAGGCGTGGTCTGCCAGTGACTACGACTCACTGCATCGCGATCGATGGCGAATCGTGCAAATATCGCGAGGGGTTGATTGTGCATTCCTTGGCACCTGCCAATTAAAGCTACTTTCGAGGATCCAGCGCCCGTTGGTTGAGGCCAAGACCGGTTTAAATGACCGGTTGTATCTAGAATAGCCCTCTTGGCCAGCTAAGCTCCAGGGGTGCCATGATATTGTTGCACTGCGCCGTGCTAGCCACGGTACAATCATTAATCTTATCTGCAAATTCCTCCGGAGTTCGAAAACACACCGAGGCTCTCGCGCGTCATTGCAGATGGTGCGATTATGTATAAATGTGGGAGGGGGCCGCTACAGGAATTGAGGCTCCCTTGGTTCTAAACCTCTGGTGTCTTCCATCCTTCACTGTGGACAGAGGAAATCCGGCAACATGAAGGCGACAATTGCCATTGGCGCCTGTTTAGCAGCCAGAGCTCTTGCCACCGACCCGATCACGCCCGACAAGGTCGAGGCGGACATTAAGACCAATGAGTGAGTTATCTTATAGAATGTCCCCGGTGCAGTACTGAGAAGAAGAAAAAAGGCTGCAGCGAAACCTATGGAACCTAAACAAAATTGCCCGTGACAATGGAGGAAATCGCGCGTTCGGTCTTCCTGGTTACAAGGCTTCGCTTGACTACGTTTTGGAACGTGCCCAAACACGATTTGCCAAGGAGATGGACACCTGGATCCAACCATTCAACCACACCTTCGAGCAAACTCGTAAGATTAGCGTGACCGGTCCCGAAGGCGAAAGTGTTTATGTGATCACTCTACTCTATAACCATGCGACCCCCGTTCCAGATGGCATTACAGCATCGCTCATCGACACACCGGTGGATGATGAGCGGGGATCCGGCTGCTTTGAAGATCAGTGGACCGGCATTGACGCAACCGGAAAACTGGCTCTTGTCAAACGCGGAATATGCGCAATTTCCGATAAGCTCAAGCTGGCAAAGGCACATGGTGCTTTGGGTGTCATACTATATAATCAGACACCTGGTACTAGCATTGGATCTGCAACTCTCAGTGCTGAGAATATAGGACTCCTAATCCCCGTTGGAGTAGTCCCTCTGGAAGTAGGCACTGCTTGGAAAGCGCGCCTTGCAGCAGGCGAAGATTTGGTGGTCAACCTACTTGTTGACTCAATCTTTGAGGAACGTGAGACTTGGAACGTCATTTCTGAGACGAAAGAGGGCGACCCCAACAGCGTGATCATGCTGGGCGCTCATCTGGACAGTGTTCAAGCCGGCCCTGGTGTAAATGATGATGGAAGTGGAACTACAGCACTGCTTGAGATCATGGGATCCGTGAAAAAATACAAAGGGTTTCCTAATAAGATCCGCTTTGCATGGTGGGGAGCCGAAGAGAGTGGTCTCATCGGATCCCTTTATTACACCTCGAAGTTGACCGAATCAGAAGCAGATGCTATAAAGTATTACTTTAATTACGACATGATCGGATCTCCTTATCCTGTTTATGCTATATACCAGGCGGACAACAGCGGGCCAGGTGCAACTGGCTTATACGATTACCTCATCTCTCAGGGGAAGCCTGCATATTATGGGTAAGTTTCTCATCATACACCATCAACACACTTAAGCTAACTACTTATAGCGGTTTTGGTTCTTCTTCAGACTATGTTGGGTTCCTTGAACTAGGCATTCCTTCATCTGGTCTTTTTACTGGTGCTGGTGCCCCCGAAGACCCATGCTATCATTTGGCTTGCGATACCCTCGACAACATTGATTGGGATGCGCTTACAGTTAATGCCAAAGCAGCCGGGAGGTTGGCGGCTGAGTTTGCACTTTCTGTGGAAGGAATTCCAGCAAGAAGCACAACTACACCCAACTTGCGCGGCCGGGCTAAAATCACCGAACAATTTCGCAAGTGGGCTCGTGCTTCGGAGAAGGCCGTGATTGAAAAGACTTGCTCGCATAATGGGAATCAAGTCATTTAAAGGTAATGATACATGGAGGCTGCAAAATAGAACTAAAAATACTTCAAGATATGTTATGATGCTTGAAGACCAGAACCACCCATTTGGCACCGCGCCCCTGTCGAATAGCCCTTCTCGAACGCCTATCATAATAATAAAAGCAAAGACTCAACATTGGAATGCTCAGCAACAACAATATAAGTCTTCAGTTCTCTCGAAGTTCAATCTAGATACACGATAAGAGTACTAGTCCCATCGCGAGATAAGTGAGAGCTCGAGTTTCCGAACGCAAGGCCGACACTCCGTTCACATTTTGGTCATCCGAGTTCTGGGTGGAATTATCCGCTGCGCTCGTGCCAATGGTCTTCATACAAGTCAACTGAGCTTCAGACTCTGAGATTATACTACTGTTTGTAGGATAGAAAAGAGTTAGAATCGGAGTAATGGCGAAAAAGTTCCTTTCGAGAGCGGTGACAGATGTGTTGCCCTAAGCAAAATTAACATTAATGGTCTCACCTAGTTTGAAAGACATAGCCTTACCATCGACTTCGAAGATAATACCAACACTAGATTGTCATTTTTGGGAAAAATTGGCCAGCAGTTGGAACTCTCATTTTGCTGAGCAGAGATAGACTCAGCAGCTTGCGAGCCGGTTAGTGCTATGTAAGCCGTTGTCAGTATTGATGTTGTAGCGTCAACTTCTTGCAATACATACGCCTTGACACAACACCACTCCAGTTGCCACCGTTCGTAAAAGAGGAACAAGATCCATCGAGATGGCTTTGAAACTCCTTTTGAAGCTTCGCGCATGCATCTTCGGAAGAAAGCCCTTCAACGTTGACGTCCGAGGCGCGCTTAATAAGATCAGAGACGCAGCTTTTAGACAAAGCTTGTTGACAAGTTCCCTGTGCCTCTGAGGTATCATCGTCATCGAAAGCAACGTTGTCGCTGACTTCGGTAAAAAAACAGCGAGCAACCCCCTATCTTATCGAGATCTAAATTCGGCGGTGTGCCAAGATAGAAGCTTTTGTCAAACTGACGTCCCTCGCTGGTGTCGTCTACAGCAACACCCTCGACCCAAGAGAGCCCATCAAGAAATGAGGATGTGTCAGGTATTCTTGCAAGCCCGATGGTAGTGAATGTTTTGTCAACAAGTATGCATTGCGCTGATGTGACGCCTGGCTTGGTTGGGCACTGAACCTCAGCGCAGCCAACAATAGTACTCGGCAAGTCCTGCGCTCGTGTTTTCCATGACAATCGCGAGAGAAGGGCGACCATCACGAGAATGGAATGCATTATGAGGATAGCCTTTGCAAGAACGAGGACAGGTAACTGAGTAGCAATAGCACTATAATGCGTAAGGGGTTGTTTTGAAATAGCAGCAGCTATTGGGCAATAGGTAAGTTGCAAAGTGAAGAGCGCACGGGAGAAAAGCACCAAGCACTATTCTGCGGCAAGGTTCAGATAAAAGTGATTAAACACTATCATACCCTCACGCGCGCGTATGCTACACTTGTGGATTGAAAGATTCTAGGCCAATCGAAATATGTTGTTGACCTTCGTTTCATTAGCCACTGTGTAACTAATAGCGCCCTTGGCAGGCTTATTCGGGGATGCCACCGCCTAAAGTCGGGTCGCCAAAACTGTGACCCGTGGATTGACAAGTTGGTGTTCCATGCGCTATTGCTTCTCATTTGAAGATAAGCATATACTGGTTACCCTACACTCGGGACAGCATGGCTTTAGGTTGAACCCCTCCTGACCATCCTGCGCCGCCATTGAGACTGTATGCCTAGCCGCGTGGTGTCAAGCCATACTCCAGTATAAAGTCCAAGCCTCGCCATGATAAGCAATCTTCACCGACCTGGTGCCTGGGGCATCTCCGGCTAGTTTAAGCTTGATAGGCTGCACGGATGCTTGCTTTCTATTTGGACAAGATCGTGGCCCGGAATAAGCGGCTCTACACCGCCCGGTGACAATCTGATGAAACCAACAGGTAGAATGATCTCACTCCCCACTGGATTACTCTATCGGTCAAGTCTCGTTGACCCGTTGCAGATTCTTTTGTTGTTGGAAGATGCGAACATTGTTCACAGCTTTTGTGTGGCAGAGACCTTAGAAGTGCCCAGAAGACGCAGAATTTGGGTGCATTTTGGTCTCCGTTATGCAGCCATCTCAGGTCCTGAAATTAGTGAGAATACGGTCCTACTATGTGGATAGCACTTCTCTGTAATTACCACTTGAATAGTTGTTGGTTTCAAAGGAACCTCCTGGAGAAGCCGTGGCTTGAACCTGAAGGCTATAAAGCGTTGCCCAAGTCGGATGTTACGCTGTCGGCTGAGTAAATTGCCAACATAACTGGGTCAAACAGGTATCTGTCTTTTTATTTGCGTGTCAAATCTCTACAAAGCCAGTACTTTCAAAGTGAAATGGCTGGACTTGCCGTTATTGAAGTCATGGGCTCGTTTCGGGGGCACTAGGCATTATTCAATTCGGCATCGACAATTTTGCTGCTCCGGAGCCTACAGGCTCAAAACTCAAGATAGCGGTTGGTCTCGACGTCACCGGTGGCCTCAGTAATGCTGGCGGTGATCTTTCTGACGTTCGTCTCTACAACGGAGCTGGAGAGTTTCTAGGAATGAAAGCCGATCCTGGTAAGGTCGGTGATGGCAGTGTTGGCGAGATCAAAGTCGACCATAATGATGACAGCGCTCAACAAGCCGCATATGCACTCTTCTCAGCCAACAACGATGCAATATGTGTTGCTTATGTCTCAATTACTTGGCCGAGTGGAGATGAATACGCCTGGGTCGGGGATTGGGGCCAGACATGTGGTGGTTCTTGGTACTTTTCCAACGTATTCATTAAGGGGAGCAACTACAAGCCCAATTGTTTATGGATCGATGCAAATGGGGACCAACCTCAAACCGGCTTTCAAGTTCACTTTCCTGAGTTCGTAGCGCAAGAAGCAGGAGTTGTGCCGAGCGACAAAGATGAAAACTACTACTGCAATAAAGGGCCACCTTTCAAATTGTACACCAATGATGACCCTAATGTGGTGACGTATTGGGTCCTGAACAATAAATCTTGTCGTTCAATTGCTCTCACATCGCCTCAAAGAGGACCAAAAACTTCCCACCGAAGGAGATTTCAACAAAGAGCCTATCTCAATGGCACACAAAATACTTTGAATAGCACACAGCTTGTTCCTGCCGATAGACACACCGGCCATTTAATTGTCGACAATAGCACTGATCATTCAACCTACGACTTGTGTAAGAGTGAGACATCTGTTGGGCCAGATTACGCCAACATTGCGGATGGGAATTTCTGTAGAATGGCCGATAAGTCACTCTGGCCAATATGTACAAACAGGCTCACTGATGAATGTTTCAATCTGGACATGGAGTGAGCTCATTGTTGGAAGCAAGGCGACGAGGGATACTTCCTATCATTACGTTACGACTTGGGGATCATCAAATGATCATGCAGCAAGGTAGTACTTTTGATTTCTTACAAATTGATGTTAGCGTGTTGCTCTTATTGTGGTGGTGTTGGCGTTTTAGTGGTGCCCGTTTTTTTTTTTTTTTGTTTGTAGATTGAGCTTAGGAGTATCGTATTGAAGCTGAATAATATAATTGCAATGGGTGGGTTCATTTTGCCTCCTCTTGGAGCTAGCATCTATAATAAGGTATTGTGTGGTATTAAGATTATCATCAATCATGTATAGTATAGGAGCGCTTCAATCCTTTCTAGCTAATATAGTTTGATGACCTTTGGCCTACAGAAATTACTAAACGATGAGATTTGATGAAGTGTAAGCTTGTTCAATATTACTCATCTATGAATCTTCACAATTCAACAAATCCTTTTGTTAGGTAATGCAAGTGTGTCAATGCATTTTCAAGTAACCTCGTAGATAATGTCCCAGACAGGGGTATGTTCTACAAAGGGAGTTCTCAAAAATCTAAAGATGCCATATTATTCATGGGTTCGCTCTAGCTACATAACCGAGGAGGGGCACAACCGAAATGCTTAAGGAAATAGCAAATCGTCCTCTCAATGAAAGTGGATGGCGAGCTACCTGAAGGATGCCGTCTCCTCTTACAACATCAATACGCTCGATAACAACCAGAGACACACCACGGCTAGCCCACAAAGAGCCTTACTGTCTATTGAAAACCAATAAATTTTAGCGAGTAGACTATTAATAAGTATGTGTAATAAACTTTGTTAGTAGATGTTATTACTCAAAATCAAGGGAGTCAGGCAACAAACTATTAATGTGTACTAGCTCGCACTGTAGACTTTTTTGGGGTTTTTTAATTGGAAAGGAATTAAGCCGTTGTAACTTTATCTTAGCAATAAAGATGTGTTTTGAGGACTGAGATAACTAACAAAACTGTTTATTGAACGAGTGCACCGCCGCTGGACCTGACACAAATTCCGGTAGCGTTGCTGTCTTTCATCAAATACATATATGCTTCTGCAACCTCTTCTGGCAGCCCAACCTTTTTCAATAGAGCAGTGTTCGTGACATATTCCCGTCTCCCGGCCCGATTCCCATCCTGGTCCCATAATTCTGTGTCCGTGGCCCCTGGGCTTACAAGGTTTACTCGGAGCTGAGGCGCTCTGTCAAAAGCCAGTCCCCGGACAAGGCCGTGCAACCCTGCGGCAAAGAAGGACCCTGCCACGTAATCCGGTACCGGTTTCTCGTCCACACGACCTCCCGTGAATATGAGAGAAGATTTTGGTGATTGATTCATAAAGCGAGGCGCTAACTTGGCTATTAATAAAAGTGGCGCAATCCCTTTGAGCGCCATATCGCTGATGTACTCTGTATCAACCTCGGCAAGTGGCTTGTTTGTCATGGTCCCTGCGGTAAAGATTATGTGGTCGAGTAACTGCGACTCGTTCGTAGCCTGATCGTTGGATGTGCCAGTTATGTCAGACAGGAGCTTCTCGAGACCAGCTTCGAGATCCGGCCTGCGAAGGTCGAACGTGTAGCCTTTCACGAATCCTTCCGGGTTCGCAGCCTCGAGCGACTTGACAGCATTAGATACACGAGTCGAATTTGACGACGCAATAGTAATGTGGACACCCTCTGCGAGAGCCAACTTAGCCACTGCCGCGCCTATCCCGGATGAACCACCAATGACAAGTATGGATTGACCACTAATTGAAGGCATTGTAAAATAGAAGATGCCGTCAGACTATATGCAATGGGTTTTCTGTGGTGAGTTTGAAAACATACAAAATGCATTGGAGCCCTTTTCAACCCCATTCTAATATATTCAGAAACTGCCTGAGCCCGGGAAGTAAAAGAGCCCGCAATCTCCGTGCACATGCTGGTGAGAGTTCTATTTGCTTATTGTTCGCACTAAAGTGTTGCATTTGACGTTTTCAAGCGGGTGGGTGATGTGTGGTCTGAAAACACGTCATCCAATTACATCGCGATCAATACGGTGAGAGGCTAGCGTTGGCGGGAAGGTGGGTTAGTTTGTTGGACGAATTTGACTCGGACGCATCCTACGGCGTTTCTCGTGTAACGAGAACATAGACGAGCATGGAGTTTGATTATCTCCGTTCTCCTTTCATAATTCTGTCTTTTTTGTGGCTCGAACACGCACCTTTTGTGCCACATGACTTGTTGAGTTACTGGTGCACCAACCTTGATTCTCTTGATGATACAAGTAGGTATATATAGTATTTCTTGTTGCTACTAAGTCAGCGAACTAAAGCGATCTCCCCCTACAGTCCTATGGAGGTGCTTCATTAGCTGCACTGAGAAAGGAAATGAACATTCGCTATCGTGGGCATTTAGACTCCGTCTATTAAGGAGGTGATGGATAGGTCTTCTCAACTGCTTCTTTCTCACGACGCAAGAAATCCTCCCATGTTGTCACTGGGATGCCCCAGGACTTCACTTCATCAAAGTCCACAAACTGCGCCATGTCGCGCAAGACTAGTGTACTGGAAACGAGCGGATTGCTTTTTTGCGCGTCTATCTCACCGTCAGTGAGAAAATGGATCTTTATATGCCTGTGCGAAGCATCTCCAAGCGACTTTATAACGTCTCCTAGATACCGTATATCACTTGCAATCTCGAATGCCCTGCCGTTAAACCTGACTGGATCTTTGAATGCGGCGATCGTGAATTTCGCGATATCTTCGTGGTCGATAAGAGGCATTCTCGAATCTGGCAGGATTCCAGTGGTCCAAGTGTTCGTCTCAGTGAGACCAGCATACATCTTGACTTTCGGTTCAAGGAAGTTGGCCATGAACCAGCCTGGACGAATGATGGTCCAATATTCGAAATTGGCGTTGCGTATCTCGTCTTCTATGGCCTTTTTGGCAGCGAGAGTGGCGGTAACAAGAGAGTTGGGGTTGTAGTGCTTGCTACGCTCCGGAGTTTGCACTCCATAAGCACTGGTGTATAGAACTTGTTTGACCCCAGCGGCCTTCGCAATTGAAATGATGTGCTTAGCCTGCTCGACCTCACGTCTAAGATCTGTGAGAGTTGGAAACATGACCAGGAAGAGCTTTGAGCAACCTTCGATTTGCTCTCTAAGTGTTTCCTCGTTATCCCAGTCACCAACACTGAATTGCACCCCAATGGCTTGCAATGACTTGGCTGCAGCGCTGTCAAGGTGTCTTGTTGTCGCATGGACATCCCAACCCATGCCTCTCAATTGACGAGCAACAGCAGAACCCTGCGTGCCAGTTGCACTGGCTATGAACACAGTTGGAGATGACATTCTTGATTTCAAGATGAAGAAATATTAAAAGTACTGTATTGCTGTGAATGAAAAAATGGCAAATTGGAAATTTGATGTGTGAAATCAAGGAGAACTGTCGTCTCACCCAGTGGAGAGAGGCTGAGCTTGATCTTTGAGTTTGTGATAGCGAGATATTTGTAACACCGTGGGTTGACAATCCAACTGGGATGCTAGATGATTAATGCTTTGTGGAGCTCTGTCGCTAGAGGGCGGACTTCCGCCAGCAGGGGTCTCATACACCAATCACGTTTCAACCCCTCGCAAGAGTCTGTACAGCACCTCCCTAGGTAACGTGCGACATGATGAACATCTAGGAACTTTTATGATAGTGTATTGTTGTCTTATCTGGTGCTGGCACCACCAGTCATATTATCACTGTTTATTTTCTTTGCCTTCTTCTTGCGCCGGGAGGTCGTCATGTCAAAGTTATGTGGCTTGCCCTTGGTCGACAAGGCTCTGTTGAAAGAAAAGACCCAAATCTTCGGTCCGATTTCCTTCTCAGAAGCCCGTTTTGTTTCTATAAGTCTTACCATCCTCTTTGCAAGGTTGTTATTTGAGGTGACCACTGTATTACCAGAGAGCCATCCATACATGAAAGTTGCTCGGTTAGAAGTCAGGTCCAACAATTCTTCTTCAACAGCGCGTGCGATATTTGGTAATTTTCCAGCTGAGATAGCTACATCGGTTTCCGACTCGGCATCTTGGCCCAAGATTTCGATGGGTAAACGTAGATCAACGGGGATTTGGTGAATCGAGAGTTTCTGAAAGTCCGCAACTAGGTCTTGATAAGGCCTATTCTTATCACGGGCATCCGATGATAGGAGCATATTGGCTCTCTGCTTCTCCGTTTCTGTTCCGATTGTTGAGACGATTTCCCAATAATGCTTGGCAGCAAGCTCAGTGCATACCAACCTTTTGGATCGAAGAACGGGAAATGCATTAGCTAACAGGAAGCTTCGTCCTTCTGCTTCTTCTTGGATATGGGCCTGCAAATCACCGCGATGCCATGGTTGTATTTCAACTCGTGAGTGTGATACATCGGAGGCAAGCGCAATCAAGATCGACGTATCAATGACGAGAGTCGATGTCAACTCCCCGAGGTCTTCTTTGACGAGATTCAACAAAGCCATCTCCAAAGAAGGCACTGGTTTTTTGTTATAAACAGAATTGGCGCAGTCGACAGTTACGACGACATCTTTTCCACCCATAGCTCTCAGCATGCAAAATAGGCGACCAGTCTCGCGATTTGAGCCTTCATCGAGTCTGGTAAGAAGGAGGTGAACTCGCGGGTGCTGATAATTATGCCAGCTCGCCCTGGCAGCGTGGACGAGGCTTTTGACAATGCGGATGAGAGATATGCCATCCTCGTCGTCATCGTCAGATTGGTCGCCAGTGCTCTCGTTACCGGAAACATCATCATCAGTACCCCAATCCCAGCCATTATCAGCCATTTCATAGAGAAGACGTTTCTCGTCAATGTTGACTATCCTCAGCCACTCAGCTCCTCCATCGACAGAGGCATCGACAAAAACCGAATGCTCTTTGTTTTTGCCATTTCGCTTGTGTGCATGGCACCTTGACTTCGAGATAGTTGAGAAGCCTGGCGCCTCAAACGACTGGCTAACGCAACGGAGCCAACGACAACGTTTTATGGCATCCCAATCACGCTCATGGGCGGGCAAATTCGAATACTTCAGTCGCCCAAGCTTCTGCACCTCTTCCGGGCCGATGCCCGGTGAGTTCAGCTTCCGTAAGGCAAGAGCGGCGACGTTGTGTTCCTGTTGAGTGACCTGCACTAGACTGCTCATTCCCGGAATCGTGTCCTTTTGCAAAGATTTGCGCAGATCATCGAACTGCTGGAACTCAGCCAGAAGTTTCGCGCTTCTGGTCACGATATCTTCTGCAAGAGTAGACAGGCTCAATCGAATGGACTCAATATCCTCTGGGTCATCTTGAATTTCGGCTCCTGCTGATATTTCATCTCCCCCATCCCCTGTACCGGGCAAAGCCATGGCGGTGTTGGACCGTTTTGCTTTGCGAATCAGAGGTGCCAATCTTGAACAGAGGATTTGCGCCTAAAATCCTTTCACCATGAAATTCTTGGGAAGTCTCCGGGCTGTCGGTACCCCACAATTACCACTAATTGGTACAACTGGGCTGTATTACGCACGGGTCCGGCGCTTAACAATCCAACAGCAGCCACAGGCAGCATTCATGGGGCATTCGACCTCAGCAGCCAAAACTGGCTGCTTACGAAACTTGCGATCAGACTTTCGACCAGAAATTGCGAAGTCGTGGACTGTGACCGAGACGCCGGATGGTGTCATGGGCAAATAATCATTTCTGCTCTCTCGCATGTCGCTGAACATGTCTCAATACACGTCTTTGTCTAGCGTTGAGCGAAACAATCCGCCGCCACGGCGCAAGGCCTGCGCAGCTTGTATCAAGGCCAAAAGACGATGTGATCTTGGACTTCCTGCGTGCACTCGATGCGCACAACGCCGTATCACATGCCAATACACGCCTGCATCTAGTGGCTCTATCCGTCCTCGTTCTGCGTTGCCTGCTGCACCAACCTATATTCAGTCCCAAGGCGTGTCGCTTGACGGGAACCCGTTACTTTCATGGGCAGAGGCTCAGTCCTTTACCCCAGTGGACCAATCTATCTCGGTGGCGTCGCAAGATTTCTCATTCAATGACCTGGGCGTGATCGAGCACATACATGTCGGCACATCAAACACGACTTTGGATGATTATTTGGAGCCTGGTTCTTTATCCGGCGACACTGCCGTTGAGCTTGTTACCAAGACGCTCGAAAGGCCAAACGTAGGGATTTCTAGTGATTATGATGTTGTCGCCGTCGCAGTTGAGATGCGGCTAGCCTATGGCATTGAGCAGATCAAAGCTGCTCCAAAGATGATGGTCCTCGAGAGCCAAACATCATGGTGTCATCCCCTTCTTTACCGAAAGGGAATGCCCCGTTCGATGCAAGGTAAGAATAACATATTTGGTTAAAAGATAATACGTCCGTTGACAGCAGGCTTAGACGCACATGCCGCTTGTGCGCTATACATCGCGAAGAATCCCGTGAATTCAGATCTCATAAATAGGTCTGTGAATTTGCGAGGGGATGAACTACTGATGAGTCCTTTACCGATTGATCCGCTCGAAACTCTGGCCCGGACACAGGCCCTCATACTGTACTTGATTATGAGACTCTTCGACAGTGACAGCCGAACACGCGCGGCTGCTGATAACATAGTTCCAGTATTGGAAACTGCTGGATTTGCCCTGTTGAATCATATCGACTGGGACATGACTGCTGCTTCGGCACAGGCGACAGAACTCGTTCTTTACCCCCTAGCATCAACGCGCAATTTCTGGGATACTTGGATCTTTCAAGAGTCTGCCCGCAGAACATTCCTCATAACATTCTTCTTCATCCAAGTGTATAGACTCCTCTCGAGGCAGTGGCCGCTTCACTGCGATGGCAAATTGGAATTGTGTCATGCGTGGACGTTCTCAGCACATCTCTGGCAAGCTCAAGATGCTTTCGACTTCGCGGTGGCTTGGAGAGATCAGAACCATTTCGTGGTGACAAACGCAGACTTCACCGAGGTACTTGGCAATGCAAAGGCAGACGACGTTGATGAATTCGGCAAAATCTTCATCGCCGCAATCCTAGGCATCGATGAAGCCAAGGGCTGGCTATACACGCGGGGAACTTCACTCTGACAGTCGATGTCTGTGGCTTCCAGACCTACGCCACGAAATAACATGTTACTCTGCTGTCTCAAAGATTGGCAAGCAATAAGATGAACTTGTGTACCACTAAGTGATTACTTCGGACTGTGTCTCCAGTATCTCGCACAGCACGATAAGAGGATGGACTGGTGCCTGGCTTCCGGTGAGACTTGAGGCCGGAGCCCGAGGCGCTGTGGGGCGCATAGGCCCGGGACGGAATGGTATTGCGCCGCCCGAATAATCAAGTTGCGGTTATCATTCACGGCCGGCCCCATGCAAACTCCACCGATCGAGGTGTCTCAGGCATCACAGACTCGGCACTGACTCATGCTGCAATTCAGTCCACTATCAATCACGCTCGGACTCCAGCAAATATTTTCACCGCTGTTAACGCCGAAAACTTTTAGCTTGACAAGCTTGCCGTGCCAATGTTTCTTGAACGGGTTATCGATGACCCTCTGAGCCGAGGCTTGTGAGGTCGTCTCCATGCATTTCAGCGTCATAGTGCCCACTACAACCTGCTGAAACGCAATCACCATACCATTTGTCATCAGAACGGCCTTGCAGATGGGTTACCCCGGATCCATGTATGAAGAAATTGCTCTGATTTTGTCAGAATCGGACCAATGCGAATGGAGTACATCGAAAGGTTGACAAGCTCTGAAGGCAAGAGTCATGCCTACATAAGAAGCGCAGGCCTTGCAGGTCGGCAAGCGTCTTCTCCTGGATCATTCAACGATATCTTATCAAGCGCCTAGAGCCTGCAATAGCCATTCGACATGTCGCCTCCTCGATTTCCCTCAAACCGTACCGATGCGACCCCCCTTTTCCGGCCGTTGGCATTCGGGCCCTCAGGGATAACGGCTCCAAATCGAATGCTCAAAGCCGCTATGTCAGAATCTCTCGCGACGTGGCATCCCACCGATGTTGCTGCTCGCGGAACACCAACCCAGAGGCTAATCGACTTGTACCGTCACTGGGGGGCTGGAGGCTGGGGTCAGATCTTGACAAGCAATATTATGATTGATGGCGCACACCTCGAAGCCCCGGGCAACATGGTGATTCCAGTAGACGCACCCTTCTCTGGACCGCGATTCGAAGCCTTTGCAAATCTTGCGAAGGGAGCTAACGCGCACGGGTCCCTGATTGTTGGGCAAGTTTCGCATGCCGGTCGCCAGGTGGAAGAGTCGATTCAACCACATCCCATCAGTGCCAGCGACGATCAATTACACATGCCGTCATTGCGGCGCAAATTTGGGAAGCCTCGGGCAGCCACAAGAGAGGACATCAATGGCGTGATTGAGGGATTCGCACACGCTGCAGAATTTCTGGAGAACGCTGGCTTTGATGGCATCCAGCTTCATGCTGCACACGGATATCTATTGGCGCAATTTCTCAGCCGCAGCACGAATCACCGAGACGACGAGTACGGCGGCAGCCTAGAGAATCGGATGCGTCTGATTTTTGAAATTGCAGCGGCAGTGCGAAAGAGAGTTAGTGAAACTTTCGTAATTGGCATCAAGATCAACGCAATCGAACTGCAGGAGGATGGATTCAATCCAGAAGAAGCCACAGTATTTTGTCAGAGGCTGGAAGAAGCCAAGTTTGATTATGTTGAGTTGAGCGGCGGCAACTACGAGAAGCTTGCTTGGATGCACGTCAAGGAATCGACGAAGAAAAGAGAAAACTTTTACATCGAGGCCGCCGAGGAGATAGTCAAGCCCCTTAAGTCTATCAAAGTATACACAACAGGTGGCTTCAAGACTCTCGATGGCATGCTTGACGCTTTGAATGTTGTGGACGGCGTTGGGATCGGGAAGGCTGCATGCCAGGAGCCTCGTCTCCCTAGGGCTCTCCAATCCGGAAAAGCTAGCGGGATTTTGAAGTACGCGTACTCCGAAGAGGATTATCTCAAACGATTGTTTGCATCAGGATCTCAAATCAGGCAAATCGCGAAGAATGAGGAGCCGGTGGATCTGACCGTTCCCGAGAATGCAGAAGCAGTCTGGGAAGCTATCATGGGGCAATGGCAGCGTATTGCCGAGGATCAAGAACGGTGGACATATGGAAGTCCTGACCTGACGCTGCCCGCACAGCCTTATGCTGAGCCATCCATTTGAAGAGAACGACGAACCGATAATAAGGTCTGCAATGAGCTAAACTGTGAAGTTTTGTCAGAACACCATGTCAGCTTGAAACACATGAATCACTAGAGTTAGATAGATAATAACGACGTTACGCATTGTTTGAATAGACATTCGCGAAGGGATCTTGACAATAAATCGTGAATGGCAAGGCTACAGCGTCATTCATACTGAATAGATGTGGTGATAAAGCAAAGGAGATAAGAATGCGATCGTGGAGTGAGGCATGTTTGACCACATCTAGACAGTTACATTTAGCGCGCCCGGCTTATAATGCGACGGGGAACCCCGCACCCAATGGCGCGATTAGGTATTTTTCTTGTGGAAGACTTCGATCGTGAACCCAGCTCTTTTATCTTTAAAAGCTTTGGCAAGTTCCTCCATACCTCTCTACTTTATCCATCGACTCCCAGACCAAACGTTCACAATGATATCTGGCCTTGCCCATGTTAATCTTGTCGTCCCATCGGGCTCTCTCAGCTCGGCGCATGCTTTCTACGGAGACACGCTAGGCTTGATTTCTTCGCCGGTGCCGGCGCTTCAGCATGGCAGATTGGCATGGTTCAATATTGCCGACTCTGGGCAGCAGATTCATATTGCTTTCGGGCGAGATATCGACTTTGAGGGAGCAGCCACGAAGAGCTCGCGGCATCCTTGCTTTCGAATCGCCCGCCCGGAGTCACTACTTGAACTACAACGGCGCATCTGGCAGCATTTCAAGGCTGGTGGAGATGGTGCACCACTGGAAGCTGACGAGCCAGGGGCTGAGAACTCGGGTAAGATTTTATCCGCGCCTTGAATATATTGCCTTTTAGTGAATAAGTTCGACTATGCTAACATTTGATTATAGGTGCAAAGGGAGTTGAATACCCTACCCGATTCTTCGCAAGAGATTATGCAGGCAACAGGCTAGAGTTCAGCTTGTAAAGTAGTATACAGCTCATCAAAGTGGCAAAAAGAATTGCAAATGTTCAAGATATCGAGTACCAAAATCCCATTGCTTGCTACCAAGCGGATTGTTTATTGCAATCTCAAAATGAAGAAGTGACTTCAAAAGGTATCGTAATCAAGGACCGGTACCACGGTTTCCCTCCAAGCTGCTGGACTTATCTCCTAGAGTAAGACTGTTTTCTTCAGCTTGATGTCGCCTGCGGAAAAGCCCAACATGAAAGTATATGCCCCACTGACAAAGCGCCAATCATCAACTTCCTCATTCCAAATGTTAAGATCCTCCATCTTCACAGCTAATACCACAGACTGTACTCCATCAGGAGCAACTAAGAACTTTTCGAACGCCCTGAGCAGCTTTGGTGGCTCATCCGCAACGTCGGGATAAGACACATAGAGTTGGACAACCTGGTAGGCGCTCATGGTCCCGGTATTGATCAGCGAAGCGCTGGCCGTGATATTGTAAGCGCAATGCTGCACTCGAAGTGGGCCATCCAGTCGGAAGCTCGTATATGTAAGACCATGACCGAAGGGAAATAAAGGCTCAAGGTTAAGGGAATCGAAGCGACGATACCCGACATTCAAACCCTCTTCGTAAGGCGTGAGGATGTCACCATATATTTGGATAGCATTTTCGATCGTCTTCGGGAAAGTTACCGGTAATTTGCCGCTGGGGCTAATATCACCGTACATCAGCCTTTCTAGAGCCAATCCGATTTGTTGTCCACCATACCAAGCCTCTAACACGGCATCAACATCGTCAATCCATGGCATGAGAACGGCCGAATTGGTGTTGAGAACAACAATTGTTCTTTGACTTTTCTTGGCCAATCGCGAGATGATGGAATTCTGGTCACCAGGCAGCTCAAGATTGAGATTATTATCATTACCTTCGGACCATCGATCTGAAGCAAAAATAATGCTGAGGTCGGCCTCACTGGCAAGTGCATCGGCCTCCAAATCGCGTGTCTTGTCTGCCTGGTTAAGTCCCAGTGTAATACCATAGGCCCCTGTCGAGAGAGAATATCCCATGGAGTAGTTGAGCTGCAGGGAGTACTCAGTACCAGCCAACAAGGAAGCCGTGCCCTGAATAGTATTTCCAAAATTCGCCTTGGACATGTTGGCAACGAGAGTATTGTCGAGATAGAACAACGCATCACCTTGGCCCGTCATCGAGAAGTAATGCACTCCACTAGTCCGTGGAATGAATTTACCGGTGTATGTAGCTGACCAGACCTGAGGGTACGAGACCCAGAGTTCGGAGGGATACGAAGCGGATGTTATGTTGTGAACCGTGGTGGATTGGTTGACCGGCCCAGACCAGTCGGAAGTGGTGTAATATTGAACCTGAAGACTACCGTTCTGAAAGTACGTAGAGTCGACAGTATCGAACTCACCTGTGCCAGGGTACGCTTCCGAATAGTTAACAATAATGCCTTCCTTTTCTCCACGTGCCTTGAGTGCGTCGAAAGGAGCCTGTACAGCCATGGTGGAATCAATTACAAATCCACCATGATTTTCTGTCACTTGGCTCTCATTAGTAGCATCCACACCAAAGACAGCAATCTTCCCGTATTTCTTTTTCGAGATCGGCAAGGTTGCCTTTTCATTCTTGAGAAGAACTGTCCCATCCTCGGCCATCTTCTGTGCAAGATCGAGATGTTCTCGAGTCCTGACATTGGCAAGTGAGTGTCCAGACACTGGCTCATCGATAGCACCGACAGCAAACATCGGGCGCCAAAGCCTCATAACCATATCATCTATGCGTGAGGCTGGTACCGAACCATTGGCAACGGCCTCTGCAAGAAGCTCTCCGTAATAGGCAGGAAACCCATAGCTGCTCTCGAAACTACCGCCGGGCATGGAAATGTCGAGCCCATTATTTGCAGCAGCTACAGTGCTTCTTGTAGAGAAATACCAGTCAGCTACCACAAACCCGTCAAATCCCCACTCCGACTTTAGTGTCTTGTTCAGAAGCCACTCGTTTTCACATGCGAAGAAGCCGTTCAACTTGTTATATGAACACATTACGGAGCCAGCCTTTGCCTCCTGCACTGAAGCCTTGAAGGCGGGGAAGTACAATTCGTGCAGAGCACGCTTGTCGGCGATAATATCCACTGTATCCCAACCGGGATCGAGTCCAAACCGGTTAGTGTCCTGGTTGTACGCAGCAAAATGCTTTGGGCAGGCGACGGCTCCCGTACTCTGTATCCCCTTGACTCCAGCAACTGCCATCCGCGCTGTTAAATATGGATCCTCAGAGAAAGATTCGGCGGCGCGAGCCCACGAAGGCGAGCGGACGATGTTAATTGTTGGCGCAAGCACGACATTCCGGCCTTTACCTAGATGCTCCTCGGCAAGAGCCTGCCCGAACGTATACTGCAATGTGGTGTTCCACGAAGCAGCCGCAGCCACAGGTGCCGGAAAAGTAGTAACATTGTTCATACTATTTCCCACTCCTTCTGGGCCATCACCCATACAAATATCAGGAATGCCCAATGTCGCGTTGCCTGCAATATGCCCAATGCAGGCATTAACTCCAGTACCATTGTCGGTAAGCTACATCTTTATCAGCGATTGCTGTCATTGCTGGGGGAGGGGCTTTATGTCTCAACCTCAGTATCTCCTTGGACCATGTTCAATTTTTGCGTGCTGTTGAGCTGGTCAATAAATGCCCGTACTCGCTCCTCAACCGAGAGCGTCGTGTCAAGCCATGGGCGAGACTCGTGAGCTCCCCAGACGGTTACAAGCCAACCTAGGAGTACTGAGATGCGAAAGAAATACATCTTGACGCGCAGGAAAAGTCTAGAGAACAAAAGGAACTGGATCTGAATTGAGGTGATTGGAAGCCTTTTATGACTAGTCGTCTCATATTATATTCCCTGGGCCACTCAGAGAAGAGCTTCCGAGAACGAATTGGGCTCCTCTCTTGCTGTACCTGGATGTGGATTTCATTCGTAGCACTAAGCATAGTGCAAGATCTAGAGAGCTAGGGCTATCTTCATTGAAAGATAGTGTGGAATGGTCCAAGAATGTGAAGGATCGGAAGATCGTTCCTCGGGCCGGGCCCGGTTCCTTGATAAGCAAACATCGCCGAGTATCTATGAACAAGCTTTGATGTTTCAGCCATGCTGGAAATTAAGGCCCCTAGCGTAAATGGACCTTTTTGTCGGTATAAACACCGATATGATAACAGTGCACCCCGAAATGGCCGCCGATCAGTGGGTCTTGTAAGCGGTGAGCCAATATACGGAAGGCTCAAGCAGTTTCCGACATCCGTCTTCCGTATGGATTTATTATCGTTCACGTCACATTTTTAGATAGAAAAGAAGAGAATGGTCTGAAGTACATGTAGCTGAAAGTAGTATTTATGAGCTGACCTTCACTCTCTCTGAGTGGATCAGAAGAACCGTTCCTAGGATCACTTATAAGCTTCGGAACTTTGCCTTTCAACCCACAACCAACATCCGCCGAATGCCCCGCACGCACAGTATCGGAGGATGAACAGTTAGCTAGAGTGCTAGGTCTGTTAACGGCCATGGGGCGGCAATGGACAGTCTCCAGTCACTTTGCTTCCTATCGCCCCATACAAGTTCCGACATCCATAATCCCCAGCCCCGGTCAGCAGAGTCCACTATGATGGGCAAGCTATTATGTGGTATGATTGCGGTCAATGAGACTAAACAACGCAGAGAGCGAAAACCATAAAGACCTGCCCTAGTGGCCCACCAAAATACTCCTAGTCTTCCCCGATGTTCAAAGCTGCGATAGCGGAACGAAGTGCATTTCTACACAAAAGTACTACCAATAAGGGCTAAAACCAGCAGTCTAGGTTCACCGATTTTCTGAGTATCAAGAAGTACCAGAAGCGTGCGTGCCATCATTAAAGGATGGTGACCATGGAAATTGGGGCGAAAGGGTTAGCCCCAAGTGACGGGTCAAGCGCAGACAGTCCAAAACATGCAGTATATGACGCCGATATCTAGGTTGGTTTTTAGAGAGCAGCTCCGGGCTCTCGAGGGAGAAGATGGCTAGTCTGAAAGCACAGTCTCTTTAATAGTTTGGGATTGGCTTGGAAGGACATACAGGTTCATACCGCGATGATGCATGTACATACAAACCCGTGCGGCTATCTTAATTGACAACTGAAAGATGAATGCATTGGTGATATTTATTGGATCTTTTTGCATGAAAAGTTGAGAAACGTGACAAGAGACTTCATAACAACATTCTTGAAAGAAAAACTAGGTACTACGCGCATACGCCCGGGTGGGTATCTCTTCCGCAGAATTCAACCCGAGCAAAACTGTCAACCCCACACAGTCAGGAACAACTGCTCAAGGGTTTTGTATGTGTTGACACGCTTTATTTGTGGTGAGTCATTCGACACATGCTCAGGATTGCTTAGCCTTCTGATCTTTTTGCTCCCAGGGAAGCACCTCAGACATTTTTTCTCCATCAATCACAACAGGCGGACATCCTTGCACCACAAAGATAACCCGTGTATGTTCAGTATCGCTAGGGTTTCGCCACGAGTGTGTAGTTCCCCGCTGCACAATGCTGTCTCCGACTTTGAGGAGACGAATTTCTCCCGAATCCAGTGTTAACTCTATTGATCCGTGTATGACAGTGCCAAAGTCGATAGATTCGGTGCGGTGCATAGGGATGGAACAGCCAGGTGCCCAGTCACAATAGCGCAGTACCATGCCCTCGCGGGGAAAGTGTAGCCGCTCGGCAGCCGAGGTTGTATGCTTATGAAATGCCCTGAGGTCTGTCTCATCTGTCATATTGAGTGGAAATTCGAGGATTTCATATCCTTCGAAGTATTGCATTCCAGGTATGCCTCGAGGAGTGAGGGTCTCTGGTAACAAGGATGAGAAAACGGATCGACCTGAGGCATCATGCGTGGTGATGTATCGATTCGGAATGCCGAGAGCAGGAGCGTTGTCACTGTCCGATGCCATCTGACCGACGTTGAATTTGTAGTTGCTGTGATCGAGACCGTCAAGTTAATATGTCTAGCAAAAAGTTATCACTCTGTACTAATTCTTGTTAGTGTCTCATATTTCCGAAAGATGACTACTTTGTCTTGTGTTTTTTCTCTATACCTTCATCATGAACCTCAATGGCAGTAAGTCGCACCATATAAGTATGTCCTATCGATTTCCCCACCCCCGCATTATGAGGGGAAAGCGTGCTGTGGGGTACATCCATGGGTAAAGAAACAACATTTGTACTGGAAAACAGGGTTTTATCATTCAGACAGGGCTAAATCTGTTGTACTAAGGCAGATGTCGGCAATTATTCTAGGGCTCGGATAATGGATACATGCTGCTATTGGACAATGATCTGAGGAACATGCCTTGAAAATTAACAAGCGGACACTAACACGCGGTTCGGCTGGCTTGGGATCATTGACACTATTTGTCCACGGCAATGTCTCAAATTGATCGTAACATTAGATTTTCCTATCTTGTAAATCTTGGGCCTCTAATTATGATGTCTATCATCCCTCAAGCAAGACAGTGACGCCCGGTCTTGATTTGACTTACTAAGAATAACAAGCAAGCAAGCTGGCCATCTAAACAAAACGCCCCTCCACAATTTCTAAATGCCATGAACGGTGCTCTCCTGTACGAGGTTATTAGTCTTCCTTCGCCACGCGAATCACCATGGCTCCAATCCCCGATGACTTTGACCAGCTCTGATGCGCATCTTTGATATTTTCCATATCCCAAACACCCTTGATCGACGGCGAGATGGTGCCTGCTGCAAGCAAGTCCAGCAGAGCACGCAGGTCTGGTTCGAACTGCTTGCTCTTAGGCTTGATGTAGTAGAACACTGTCTTCTTGTAAGGACAGAAGGTCAAGTTGCGCAACAACAGTTTGAAAATAGGTGTCATGGGTGATCTCTCAGCCTCTCCATTGAAAGTTGCCAGGTTCTGCCCAAAGCCAACCAGGGTGCTATGCTCTTTATCGCAGAGGACGCTGTAAGACTCGTCCCAGCTCTCGTAGCCAAGTGGATCGAACACAACATGAGCACCTCCCAGTTCACGCATCGCGGTCATCCAATCTTTGTTGGTGTAGACGAAAGGAGTTGCACCAAGTTTTCGTAGTGCAGCATGATTTCGCTCCGATGCAGTGCCATAGACCACCGCGCCCTGCAACTGACATAGGACAAGGGTTGCGTACCCGACTGAGCCACTCATGCCATGAATGAAGACTCGTTGTCCCTTGGAGACCTTGGCAGCATGTGTTACCATGCCATATGCCGTGTTCCAATCCAGTGTCAATGCAGTGACCTGCTGGAGATTGAGACCCTCAGGTACAGCAACAAGAGACTTCTCTGGCACGTTGACCAGTTCTGCCTCAGAGTCGTACATTGTGATAGCTGTAACAAGATCGCCAACCTTGAATTTACTGCATCGGGGGCCGTTGGCGTGGACACGGCCGGTGAAGCAGTAGCCAGGTGTCAACGGTGCTGCCTTCTGCATGGGATAACGGCCAAGTCGCATGTTGATGTCTGCGCCAGAGAAGCCAGAGTAGACGACTTTGACCTGCACCTCATTCGCAACCGGGGCTGGGATTTCGGCACTAACAACGCTGACCTTGTCGACATCGCCAAACGCAGAGATGAGAACTTTGCGAACTGTAGTAGACATGTCTTCTTGATATGATGGGATCTAAATGACTAGATAGGATCTTTCAAGTGGAATATGTGATGTTTGCAGCCGAAGCGCGCTTCTATATTGGAGTTGGAGTCGGTTGATGAAGTTGCTCGTTTGACTCCCTTCTTCTCCCACTCCCATCAGGAGAATCGACGTTCATCTTTATATTTTGATCCATTGCGTAGCCGAAGTCCATGATAACTACCACTGTGCGAGCCATCAGCCAGTTTGAAACTGCTCGGAACAACCTTTGGCGTGGAGAGTTGGCCCGACACGGTTTCTGTATGCCCCATAGCAGGTGCGAATCCAAGGGGTGAACGCTTCAGCCACAAAGGGGCATTAATTGTTAGGGCGAGCCAGGGCGGCGCGTGGTTCGTCCGCCCACAGCGTCATGGGTAGTCGGACGAATATCCCCCCGCTCGCTTCGCACCGCTTTCGCGTTTGGTGTTCTGGCCCTGGGGTCAACAGCGACGCGAGTCCGAAGCGAGGTCGAGGTGGCTTTGACTTACTAACTAATGCGTATGCAGCCATACTTAGGACTGTACCTCTCCTACAATTCGCCCGATACGCGCAATGACCGGCTTATCCGAAAAACATGCATTTCTACCTCATACCTAAGCGAAGGGAAGGTACGCCACATCTTCACGGTTACGGGAAATGCATGCGTTATGTTCAAGTCGAAAGGAAATCTTGCAAAAGAAATATAAAAATTGTTTGTTTTGCTATTTGATCTGTTGCTGTGGTGGCCTTGCAACTCAATCATGCTCAATCCTCTACGCAGAGAGACTAGGCGGGCAGACACTCCAAAAGTTGGGCCTTGTCTCTCCGTAAAGCGTCCTCAAGTGATGTCAAGGGCATACCAAACTTGGCTCTTGCTTTCGCTGCCGCCTTGACCACATCGGTGAAGTCCTTGGAATTTGCCCATACCTGAAATCGCTGACCCGAGACAGTAGCTGCCGCTGCCTCGATTTCCGCGGGCGTCTTCTTTCTCACTCTAACAGCTCTCCCACTGACCCTGGCAAGTATGTCGCGCACCTCTTCGATGGTAAGATTTTCATTGCCAAGATCGATCTCTTGCCCACCGAATTTAGCTGGATTCAATAAGGCCGCGGCGGCGTATCTCCCGACATCGTTTCCATCGGTTTGGGCCATTCGCGATCCCTCGTCAAACGCGTGATCTAGTTCTCCAGTGACCGGAAGCGCAGGGAAGTTATGAAGAACGCTCGGCAGGAAGTGGTCCCAATGGATGACTGCTGGTCGGACAATGGTGTAGGTCAAGCCTGCGTTGCGGACGGCTTCCTCGACCGCGGCCTTGGAGGTGTAGTATCCTACCAACCCAACCTTCTCTGTTGCAGCATCGCTCCAGATCTCCTTGTTGCCGGTACAGAAGGTCGTGCTTGCAACGATGGCTTCGACTCCTGCCTTCTTGCATGCCTCGACAACGGTCTTTGCCTGCTGAGCCTCCACCCCTGGGATAGGGAACGTGTTCAAGAAGGCTCCTTTGCAGCCCTGCGCTGCTTTATAGATCGCATCAAAGTTTGTGCTTTCGCCTTCGAATAGTGTGATACCTGGTTTGTTTAGGGCTGCTGGAACCTTTTGAAGGTTGCGTACAACCGCATGGACACTGGCACCGGCTGCAAGAAGGTGGGTGATGACCCATCGGCTTTGCTGGCCAGTTGCTTGCGTGATGAGGTAAGTAGCCATAATTGAACACGCTTAATATAGGCAAATAAAAGAAATAACTTAGATACGAGATCACAGATGGTTCTTGAACGATGTTGATGAGGTTGAATCTCCAGACATGGTATATCGAAAGGGCAACGGTATCACTTATATAGACATTTCGGGGCGGACGACGGTTTCCTACGGTCCCAGCGCATCAAAGACCAGCTTGCTCTTCCCCATCATCAAGCCATTTCGTCTTCAGGACTCTTCCCTATTCAAGTTGATCTAGATGCATCTCATTACTCAGTGGCTGTGATCTAACAAAAGCGGATGGAGGCACTATGCCGGTTTGGTCGGTGCCGGGATTACAAATGGCATTAAGTTGCGTCGGAGAAAGTTGCACTTGGTGGGTCCCACCCCGTGAAAGACGGCAAGCCATAAAGGACCGGCCCCATCCCAAGCAACTTTGTCCGACGTATTCATGGGAATTGGGACATACACATTCATCACGGATACCTAATTCCTCGCCGCAATTCAAAATTTACAACGATTGTTAGTCATATGAACGGCAGGTAGCAACGACTCGGACTTAATGTAAGTGATGCAATGTCCGTTGACATTACGAAACCAAAGAGAGGCTGTTGGACTTGTAAAGGTAAGCTACTTTCGTGTGCTGGAAGAATTGAAAAATCCTCGGACAAGATTAGCCTGACCTCACTTTCTCAGAACGAAAAGTCCAATGCGATCGGAGTCTTCCCACGTGTCGGAAATGTGCTAGAGCTCAGCGAGAGTGCCAAGGCTACGGATTGCGCTTGTCTTGGCCGAGAGACAATGATAAGAAGCGCGCCATCAGAACGAGTTCGCGGGTTGCAAGGACACATGAGCACTCGATGACAAAGCACCAATTTGTCAACACAAGCCGGTGGGATATTGAACTGTACCGGTCTCTATGTTCGCGAAGTGCAATTCCACCCGTTCACTTAGTTGCACCAGCTCCAAATCTATGGAGGCAACCCGAGCCACGGGTGAAACATATGGACTTGGTACACTTTTGTAAGCCTTACAGCATATCATTCAAAACTAATACAGCCTACTCATCATACACGCGAACATACTAGTCCATGATGCAGCCCATCTCTCTCTGGTCACATTTGATGCCAATTCATCCAATATTCGAGATGTCTTAATTCGCATGGCACTTGCGAATGACTCTCTGCCAGGCCAGGCTCTCTTCTATGCGCTGCTTGCCATCTCCTCGCTACGTCGCAATGGACTTCGCCAGGAGGCGGTCCACTTCAAGGTCTCTTCGCTTCAAGCCCTCTCCAAGTCGGCTAGGGCAGGATCCTTAGGCCCGGCTGAAGCTGCTCAGCATGTTGCCACGTGTATGCTCTTGTGCGCTTTTGAAGTAAGTTCCGGGGGACCAACGGTATGTGTTATCTGCGCTGACAATTCTTGTAAAGATACAGTCACCGTCAGATAGCTCGGGAGAGTGGCTGTGGTATGTCCAGGGGGCAATGGACATCATCCAAGGAACTCATCTTGACCAGCAAATAGACTTAAGCGACATCAGTAGTCTCGTTGACTGGGCCCATTATCATGATGCGCTTTCCCGTTTCGTCATGCATCATTGGCGCCATAGGTCGGTGGCCTCGTCAAGCAAAGATGGGTTTGACTCCGAGCAGAGAACCATGCAATACCCACCATTGGTCAAAGACCGTCCGGTATTTTCATTTAAGCGATCTATCGATGCTCTCTTGTTGCCTTATTAACTCTCAATCGCAGGCTTCACGTTCTCCAAACCCGGCACATGCGATACTCAATCTGCTTTCTGAGACATGCGACACGTTGCTCGATCCATGGGACCCTAGAAGCCAGGATATCGAATACAAGAACCGACTTGCATCACTTGAGTCAAGGATTAGGAGCCTTCCAGGCAATTCTGCAACGAACAAGCTCCCAGTCGAGCCGATAGACTCTCTTGAATTTATAGTGGAGCTTTATCAAATCGCCACACTGATCTATCTTCTTCGCGCTTCACAAAGCGTATGGGAAGCACCAGCGAACATGGATTCAATGCTAGAGCGTGTCTTCGCCGTGGCCCATCCAGGCCCCGGCTGCGGCCATTTCTTCCCCTTGTTCATTGTAGCTTGCGAAGCGCGGAGAGATGACCAAAGGACTGCGATTCTTGATTTGATTGAGAAGAACCAGAAACGATCTCATAAGCGGAGCATGACAGGGTTGAGAGCTGAAATTCAGTCGATTTGGGTGCAACAGGACCTTCACGAAGATGGCGATCAGGTGATGAATTATCTACGCGTCATGAATTTTGTCATCAGCTCGAATCTGACGCTTCCGTCTTACGTATGACATTGGTGTTTTAAGCTGCTTAGATGTATTTAACTACACAAAGTCTACCTGTTAAAAGACATCACATCCAGCCATTGAAATACGCCTATGTTGAGTTGGGGGAGCATAGTCTTACCCCTGCCAGCAGTCAGATGACTTATTTGCTATTACTTACTTCATTTTTACTCGCTTTACTTAGCTATCATTACACAGAATACAAGAATGGCTATCCTTTCATTCTCAATACTTTTTTTTTGCCCTGGAGGCTTCTTTTTGTATGTATGCCCTATGATATCTTGAGTGGGTGTTGGTCAGCAGTAGACACTGATGCCCTGTTTCAGTGTGTGTGTGTGTGTGCTATGCTGTTTACAATGCCAACATTGATTTGCTGGTAGCTTTCATACGGATAGACTATAGGCGTTGATATGATCGCCCGAGGCTTTCAGCTTTCGAACTTTTGGGAGACTCTGTCCATTAAAGTCTGTGATCTCATCATCTATCAGATCACATCAATTTCTCACCGACACAAGTGACCTACAGATTTGACTTCATATCAAGCGACATAACTGAAGTATTTTTCTTTTATTTGGTTGTGGTGTATAATTGAATATGGTATATTTGCTATGAAAATAGATTTCAGAATTGGTCTAGCTTTGCTGGTTCTTGAGCGACCCTTGAACTGATTTCACGGCATGTCATCCATTAATACCTCTTATTGTGCGGCATCGTCAGCGGATGATACCTCACAATTCGAGCCAGAAACCTCAAGAGAACTCCTCGTTGCGGGATATCTTCAACACAGTTTCCCTTGCTCTTGGCACAATATCCCTAGTTGCCCACACGACTCTATGAAAATGTAATTCCGGCGCATCGGCGTTAAGGTCTGGAGACTTTCTCCTTGGAGTCAGTACCGATGTGTGTGCATCTGCAACGCTCTTGGCGCGCAGATTAATAATAACTGCCCGCTAGCACGTAGAACGTGCCTCGTATACGCGAGTAAGTAAGATCCAGTCCGTTTCGGAGGGCAATCTAGGAAAGCCTGTGAGTGGTCATGATAATATTGGTTCAAGCCATTGCCAACCGGAGCCTCTCGTAACCGTTTCTACGCTACGCCGGCCGGACCGAAAAATGATTGAAGCGCGGAGTTCGCTGAGATTTGCATGTCGAGAAGGCGATGTCTAGTCTCAGTTGTAAGAGTAATGACATGCAGGATCCTCCGAGTCTGACAACTTGAAATGCCTGTCCGCGAATATAGTCTGCGAGCCTTGCAACACATCACCGCTATGCATTATGGCCGACTGCATTTCGGTGACAAGCAATGGGGCCGATCTCGCGCTGGGTTTGACAAACGTATCGAGTTGTGCCAACGACATTTCAGACTTCGCAAGGTGCACATCCAAGGCGGTTGGTTTGCTCACCACAGCCTCTTTGACACAATCATCAAGCAGGCAGTGGCTGTGGATTATTACCCACAGACTTGTATAGCTCTCGCAGCTCGAATGCTTCATGGCCACCTTCTGGTACCTCGCCTATCAATCTTGCTGGCTGTCCTGCCACGACGCTGAAGCTTGGAATTACCATATTGGCAGGCACTACAGTTCCGTCCAAGATTCTCACGTAGTCCTTGATGATGGCAAACTCCCCGACGACAACCGCTTGTCCGATGTGTACGTGGTTTCCGATCGTCGCAGCTTGAACAACACTGCCTTGACCGACGAAGACGTGATCGCCCATTCGTAGAGGCATGTAGGTGAATGCACTACAGAAAAGCGTCGTTAGCCAACAAAGATGGTAAGCGCCGCATGATCTTGGGTCTACGACGTACCCCTTGTACATTCGACCGGGTGGTCGTAAGCAGCAGCCTCTGCTCAAGAAGCAATAGCGGCCAATTGCCACGGCGGTATTGTTGGCGGGCGCGCCTCCAGAGGATGAGGACTGTATTGATCGAGCCAAATCACCACGGATCATGACCTCCTGCTGGATGACGGTCTTGCCACCCAGCATGATATTCTGGGTGCCGACTAGGGTCGCTTTCCGAGCAACTTTGTTGCCCGTGTCCTGGTGTGTGCGAGACCGCGTCAGCAAAAATTGAAGGCGACAGCAAGCGGAGCCCTTATGCCATACCGTCTCTATATACTCTCCTCTCGGTGCCCTCCGCGACATGATTGCTGTATTGTATTTGTGTGATCAGAGGTTCCTGACCCGGGTGCTGTCGTTGTGTCAAGAAGAGGAGATGGGAGCTCGGAGCTTGTCGATGGAAACTGTCGCGGCGCGTGGTGAAGCCCCAGCTAGCGCGTTAGTTCAAGGTTAGGCCTGTCCTAACCTCAACAGCCATTGACAGTGCACTGCAACAGAAAAGGTCTGAGCAGTCCTCGTTTCTGCAAGGAAGGAGAATCGGCATGTTTATTGCAGCTGTACAAGACCGAAGAAAGAAAGAACAAGGCAAACACAGTATATAAATTCATCTTAGACTTTATCGACCGCTGTTTCAAAACTAGACAGATGCGCATTTTGCGCTGTCTGTCGCTTTTGCTCAACTGGGAAAGAAGGAATTGGCCTTGCCGAACGGGAGCAATAGAGCGGACGCGTGTGTCAAATGTCTCTGGAGCAGATTCAAGTTATTGTCAATTTGGCGCTATGTCAGACAGGAATGAGAGCTCTTTACCAAATGCAAAGTTGACTCGCATCGCTCTTGACATAGCTACATCATTAGGATGTGAGTTGAGTTGCTGTGCTCTACCTAATTAGAATACCGGTAGGACAATACTCCATCCATCACAATGTTGGACATGACTAGGTACTTTCCAGGCTGCTTGGAACTCTTATTAGTGACGTCAGTGGCTCGGCCCAGCCCGGCCCTGGCTGGTCCCGTTACGCCCCTCGGGCCCCCCCTTTGGGAGAGAATTTGACACGAAAGCGGCATGTCATCTCATTCTGCCCTGGCTTGTCTGGCTTGTCTTTTGCCTATGAGCCTTGTCCTGTCTATGCCAATCCTCCACTAACTCGTACGGACGGCCATGCTTGCCCGTCACCATCAGGCCACAACCCACTTTGTCCCATCCATCCATCCATCCCACGAACGAACGATCGACATCCCGTACACGCGCGCTGTAGCTCTCACTTAGACGCAATTGCGGAGAGCCAGCGAGCCAGCGAGCGAGCGCATGCATCTATCCAGGTCAGAAGCGGAGACACACGCGGTTCCCAGACTGCGATAACCCCGTCCAGGCGACCGGCATGTCCACACAACACCCACAACAACACCAGCAGCCGCCTCTCCACGTGGCCGAAGCGCCCCTAGACGAGACCGTACTGGTCGTACCTGTTGCCGATGCCGTTGCCGTTGCCAGTGCAGATCCCTCGGCTGCTGCTCCATCCAAGCAACATGGCAATATACACGCCTCAGCCAAACCCCCGGCTTTGCCTTTGGGTTCGGCTGTAGACATGAACCACATATTCGACTTTTGGCCTGTTCCTAGTGTCGTGCTCTCGCCCGCCTGTCGAATCACACAAGCCTCAGCACGCTTCCTCGAGGCTTGGCATACTACTGTGCAAGATTGTGTTGGTGTGGACTTGGTCTCGCTGCTCACCACCAAATCGGGCGAGGGCAGTGCAAATGTTATTGTAGCCGCCATCGACCAGGCCATCGTCTCCCGTGCCGAGCGCACGAGTACCGCCATTATAGTTGGAGCAACCTCTTCGTGGGCTGCTCGAATTATACCCGTTTTCAAGGGTGACGAGTTGCTGTCTGTGGTGCTTGAGTGGCAGGAGACTCCTTATGATCCTTCACTGACCGTTGTCGGGGAGCAAACCAAGATTGCCCTTTCCACCAATGAGGCTTTCCGAATCCTTGTTCAGGCTGTTAAGGACTACGCGATCTTCCTCCTTGATACTAAGGGTAATGTTGCCACCTGGAACACCGGCGCCGAGGTGAACAAGGGCTACACCCGGGATGAAATCGTCGGCAAGCACTTTTCTATCTTCTACGGCAAGGAGGATCTCGAGATTAGGAAGCCCGAGATGGAACTGGAGATTTGTTTGCGCGAGGGGAGGGTCGAGGACGAGGGCTGGCGCTACCGCAAGGACGGCACTAGGTTCTGGGCAAATGTCATCATCACTGCTATCTACAAAGACGGTGTCCACGTTGGCTTCGGCAAGGTGACACGCGACCTGACGGAAAGGAAAGCTGCCGAGTCTCGTCTCATCGCCGCTTATGAGGAGAGTGAGAAACTCAAGTCAGACTTTCTCGCCAACATGAGTCACGAAATAAGAACGCCCATGCACGGTATGCTCTCGGCGTGTACACTGCTTCTGGATACACCCTTGACCGAAAAGCAACGAGATATCGCCAACATCATGGACGAATCAGGGCAGGTTCTCTTACAGGTCATCAACGATATTCTCGACTATTCTAAACTTGCGTCCGGCAGTTTCTCCATCAACTCAGACATCGTTGGCGTTGCTAGTATCATCGCATCAGTTGTACGCAGTGTCCAGCCATTCCTGCAACCCGATGTACACTTGGAACTCTTCCTAGCTTCAGATCTGCCCAAGTCGGCCCAAGGGGATCCTCTTCGCTTTCGACAAATTGTTCAAAATATCGTCGGCAACGCCGCAAAGTTTACTGAAAAGGGAACTATTCGTGTACACGCCACACTGCTTGATGAGACTGCAGAGAGCTACACCATTAAGACCGAGGTGTCCGACACCGGAATTGGGATTCCAGCAACAGCTGCCAAAGGGCTCTTTACGCCCTTCACTCAGTTCGATACTACGACGACGAAGCGGTACAAGGGCACCGGTCTTGGCCTTTCGATTGCGAAATCGCTCACAGAGCTCATGGGCGGTCAAGTCGGGTACTGCCCAAACCCGGAACGGCACGGAAGTATCTTCTGGTTCACAGTTACCTTCAAAAAGATCAAGAGCCTTGATCAGTTCCATGGCTGGAAACGCCAGGTCGGCTACAGACTCTCTGCAAGCTCGTCACCAGATATAGCAGACCCGCAAGTCAGGCTAGCCGAGGCGGCTCCGACGACGAGCCTCCTGATAGTCGAGGACAATGTGATAAATCAAAAGGTAATGCTCGGCATGTTGCGCTCTGTTGGGTTTAAACAGATCGAGGTTGCGTCAAATGGCGCCGAGGCCGTGTCTATGGTGAGGGCTAAACCTGCAGCATATGACCTTGTCTTAATGGACATCAACATGCCAATCGTTGACGGGTACGAAGCTACGGCACAAATCCGAGAGTGCGGCATTCGCGTGCCCATTATAGCCATGACTGCATATGCCCTAAAGGGCGATCGAGAACGTTGCCTTGAAAGTGGTATGGACGACTACGTCCCGAAGCCGATCGACAGGAAACATCTTTTAAGGACATTGGTTAAATGGCTCCTCGATACCAGGGATTACAGAAATCCCAACGGCGATGATTTGCTGGCAAGATCGACACAAGAGCCAGGTTTACAGTCACCTACTTCCAGTGCGGATCGTGAGCCAGCAGGTACCAGAAGATCTGCAACAAGCAACTGAAGAACAATGTCACATGGCGGGCAGAGCAACTCACCAACCCGTCCCAACGGCATCGCAACCAACCCATAAGTCGCTGGAGTGCCGCGTAGGGTTAATTAGTGGGGTTGGATCTGTCTAGCCCCAGGTCCTTTGCCTGAGAGGCCTGACAGCTGAAAACCAATTCAAGCCAAGTGCGTTTGGATTAGCACGACACCCCACTTCACTATTGATACGCTTAGTGATTTATGGCAATCAAACGGCATCTTGGCTCTCACGTCTCTCAATAGAGGTTGGTTTTAGGCCATTTCGAAGAAATTCTGGATTTTGCTAGCAAGCAGTACGCGCGTCTAATGGCGCCGGTGATCTTGCGAGAATGAAGCAATTTCTCTGGGTGCTGGTCTTTAAAGAGCGTCCTGATTCCGCCTCTTGAATCCTTTGGCACCGATATCAGATTCATCGAGAGGCCCGTGTTGAAGCCATGTTTTCCAAGAAAGCCATTGGAGCACTACTTCTTGGCGCCGGTCTGGCACAAGCCAGCTGCAATGCTGACAACTGCCTGCGCGGTTTGCGGAACACCAAAGTCTTGACTTCAGCTCAGTCCTTTTGTGCCGAGTATACGCAAGGGCTTTTCGATTCGGCTCTCCCGACATATGCATCAGCTTGCAGCAGCTCTGCTAGCCGCATCTCAAGCGCCTGCTCTTGCCTTGCAACATCTACAGCATCAAGTCAAACTACAACCACAGCTCCAGCATCCACAACAACAACTTCGTCAACGCTTCTAGAGATAACAAGCAGCACCACCTCAACCATACAAAGCGTGGCGGCTTCATCAACTTCTACTGCGGCATGCGCCCGCATCTCCAACGGTAACTTCGAAACAGGCGACACAAGTTCCTGGGAGATAACTCGTGGCTCGGCTCCACAAGGCCGGTACGCGGCAGCAGTCACCGTGTCAGACAACGAGGAATTCACGCCTGTGTCAGGGAACTACATGCTTCGTATGCCCGACACATGGCAGGCCAACCAGCAGATCACGAACCTCTGCGCTGCCGACACTGACTGGGTTCTCAATGGGTTTCTCCGATTAATACCTGGTACCAACTGCAATATCTATTTCTGTGCCTTGAGCACAGACACATATGTGTCATCTCCCGATTGCACTTATATAACTCCGCCAGAGGATGAATGGCAAGCTGTGCAGATCAGTATGCCTGGGTCGGCAGCAGGTGGAAACTGGTTGATACAAGCTGGCGTCAGCTGCTTTTCAGGGAACACCGGAGCGATCTTCGTTGACTTTGTGGTTCTATCATAGATAGTCAATGATACAAATCAGAAAGTTCTGTCGGTTGACGGAGGGCAAATATGTTTCATTGCTTCTTCTACCTATCTGCGTATGTGGTGAAAAGACTATGGTGTAATTTCCTCCCCAGCAACGGTAGCAAAGAAAGCATCAGCGAGGTATGAACCAGCATAGCTAGCCTTATGAAATCCGTCAACGATAGGCGGAACCTTCGAAGGCTTAGAGATTGTTTCGATATATCCAGCAATGCCGTCTCTCTGCCATTCCTTTGCAAACTTTTCTGCTGTAATGTTGAGGCCACCTACAGCCCAGATTGGTTGCACTTGCCACACAATACCTAGCTTGGCCATGTCATCACTGAAAGATCGGATCTGATCCTGACTGAACCCAGCGGCTTCATAGTTATACATGCCGGTGAATCCGAATGCGAATAGTCGATCTGGATATACCTTGCGAACTTCAGTGTGAAATTCAACAATATCTTTCCATACTACTTCAAGTCAGCATTTCTATATCTGGGTTCATGCCCTGCGACACTTACCCGGCGCATCCATCCTTGCCCAGGTCATATCACCTAGAGGCGCAGCCAGGATAGCTCGCTCGACAATGGTCTTGACGCTTGGCTTCCACATATATTGACCTTCCTTAGACCGAGATAGCTCCCAATCGAATTGAACATCCTCGCCCAAAATGCTCTTCGCAATACGGCGCTTCTCCTTGAGTGGAGTTCCATATTTTGTTGCTTGTGAAACATACTCTTGGTACTGTTGGTCACTTGCTTTCGCCTTGACAGCTTCGTCAAAGGTCATCAAGCCACTCTTGGCCTTCCATTCATCCCTAGCAGCGACATAGCTCTTACCAGCAGCTAGGCCAGCCTGGATCGCTTCAACCAAAGGCTCCACATCCTTTGTAGCGCCGATGATGTATTCATGGTCTCGAGGATCTATAGTGCTTGTGATGAACTGCGAGCGATCTGTGTCGCATCGACACATGAGAAGAGTGTTGGTCCTGATGTTCAATGAGCAACTGAGACACGGGATCTATTCGCTGCTACTCACCCCATGATGTCAAATTGCATCCGCACCGCAGTCAGTCTTGACAGGTATTCACTTGTTGGGACTACGGTTCGGCCCTCTCCAATTGTGAACTTCTTCAGTCCAATGGCCAAGTCATCTAGATGAATCATAGCCACACCAGCTTCGACGAATAGCTTGGCTAACTTCACAGTCGTAGTCAGGCCACCGAACCCCATATCAGCATCTGCAATGATGGGTGCCATGAAGTCATAGATCTCCAGCTTTTCTCTCTCGGCTTTGGTGTGATGCATCCTGAACTGTTTTTGACGTTGGTCATGCCATAGCTGAGACTTGAAGATCTTCTCAACGACCTTGGGAACCGTGTCCCACGGGTAATCGGCATGGTCGCAACCGGGATGCTGAACTTCAGACAGGCCACACAGAGCTCCAGAGACGTAAATTGTCTTTCGAAAACGCAGTCACTGTCAGCCCATTGTTACTTGATCCTAAATTACGGTTGATTTCAATACCTGTTGATGCTTCACCATCTGAGATACGACAGTCGGCTCGGTTGTACCAAACGTCTTCTCACACGTGCCATTCTTGAGATGAGTGTTAAGAATATCCCACAGCTTGTCTCCCTGTACACTTGATGGATATGTAATGGGGATCGTGTTCCGGAGTGCAGCAATTGACTTGGCAGAGTACGGTCTAACACACATTAGCATGGGAAGATGAACAACACAGGACGGGCGTCGTTGACCTCTTCAAGTGGGACTGTCTGAGGCTTTGCCATTCCTTTTCGATGGCGGCGACTTGCTCTTGAAAAGCCGCCTCCTCAGCGTCCAGGTCTATCTTGATATTCGGCATTTTGATATACTTCAAGGCAATGGTACTAGGATACGAGCACGGGCGGAATTTTTCCTACAGTGAGGAAGGAGGTTAGAGTACGAAAGAATACCAGAGCTAACTCATCTATGTGACATTTACGTGCATTCTATTACGTGGATCTATCTCTCTGATTGTTGTTCACTTCCCCTAATCGACTTGTGTAGGATTCGCTGGCACTCCGGTGCGGACACAGAGCCCGATATCGTCGCCGCGGGGATCCCGAAGGGTGTCACACTATGCGGACAGTAGTCCGACCATGCCGACGTAAGACCCACCTACCCAGCGATATCTGGAATTGAATCCTCCAACCTCACCTTGACGAAGATTATATTACTTCGATACTGTGTGGTGATCAAACGTAAACTTTGGAAGAACGGAATGTGGCGATTACACGAAAGAACGAGGACTTTGGCCTGAAAGGAGCAATCAGCAGTGGCTGTCGGCTGCCATAGGCCAACGGGACATTCAAGTACGATAGAACAAACACATGTTTCTTATTGAAAATAAAAAGATGATAGTGAGAAATAAAAGTAAAGTTTAACAAACTGTTGAAAGCAGATATCCCGAGAACTTTCATATGTGTATATACTCTCATCACGACCGAGCCTCATCAGTTGTTCTTCCCTGAGTTCGCTAGGCCATGAGACCCTGAATCTGACCCGTACGAAATGGCGCTGAGGTGACTTTAGTGCCTTATCTTTGATTTTCGACCGCTTTACAGGTGCCAGTCCAACATGGAAGCCTACCCGCCTAGAACTTTAGAGTACACTAATAACTCTTAGCAATCCACATTGGTCAAGGCCCTACCTACAGCGAAAAAGTCCGATTAGAGGGGCGTTTCGGGAGCCATTCGCCATGACACTGGGACTACAGTGCCTTATTCGTTGACCAATTGTCACACCAACTAGAGCGGGAAACCATCTCCAAGATATAAATTCCTCACAAGGGTTCAATCTTGACCAATTTCAGGTGGTTCTGGCAGGTGCCCACGATTCCTCACTACTTTACTACACCGTCAGGTCTTGTGGAGCGTATACTGCTCTCTACAGCTCACGATGCATCCTCTTGACCCCCTAACACCGTCTGAGGTGGCCGTCGCAGCCAATCTCATCAAACGCCACAACTCCGGCGAGAGTGTGCACTTCAAAAATATCACACTAATAGAGCCTCCCAAGAAGGAGTTGAGAAAGTTCCTAGTAGCGGAGCGAAATGGCTCTCCTCGGCCCCCTATTCCTGCTCGGCGAGCATCTTCATTATATTATATCCGAGGAACTGCAGACTTGTATCTCGCAACAGTCGACCTTGGCAATGCAAAGCTAGAGCAGGCAGAGAAGCTCGACTCTCGTTACCACGGTCAAGCTGATATGGATGAGGTGATTGAGGTCAGAGACAGATGCCTGAGTCACCCAGAGGTCATGCAGAGGATTCGAGATTATCAGCTTCCTGATAACTTCGTTGTTGTATGCGATACATGGCCTTATGGAAGAGACTCAGAAGAATCGAGTAAAAGACTTGCTCAGGTCAGAATCAATCTATCCAATCTCCCTCGCCGGCAGCAAGTCCTCAAAATTGCTGACACGGTATTCTAGTGCTATCTATACGCCAAAGACAAGTCACATCCTGGGTCAAACTCTTATGACAATCCTCTTCCATTCTCGCCAATCATTGACTACATCACCAAAGAGCTTGTCGCTATTATTGATCTGCCCCTTGGAGCGGACCATGCTGTGACACCAGACGTCAAGTATATCCCTCGTCCTCCCAGGGAATGGCATCACGATCTCCAATCTGAGCCAAAGAGAACTGATCTTAAACCGCTCACTGTTCATCAACCCCTTGGCGCCTCGTTCAATGTTGATGGACATCTGGTGACTTGGCAGAAGTGGCGTTTCAGAATTGGCTTCAACTGGCGAGAAGGCATGGTCTTGCATGACGTAACCTATGACGGCCGGGAGCTATTCCATCGCCTAAGCTTGAGCGAGATGTTCGTACCTTATGGTGACCCTAGGACGCCGTACTCAAGGAAAAGCGTTTTCGATGTCGGTGACATTGGAGCTGGCGTTGCTGCCAATAACTTGGCACTGGGATGTGATTGTCTGGGACTCATCAAGGTAAGTCCTGTCGATATGTGTTTGGTGCCTAAGCGTAGACTAACCCGAGAGCTCTAAACAGTATTTCTCTTTCACCCTGAGCGATTCAAACGGTAAACCTGTTGAAAAGCCCAATGCCATTTGCATGCATGAGATCGACGACGGCATCGGATGGAAGCACACTGATGGCGCCACTAAGCAAGTCTCTATTGTGCGATCGCGTGTGCTCGTTTTGCAGACTATTATCACTGTCGGTAATTACGAGTACATTTTTATGTGGCACCTAGACCAGGCAGCTGCAATCCACTACCGCATCCAGGCCACGGGTATTCTGTCTACCGTACCCATTGCCCCTGATGTGAAGGTTCCGTGGGGTACCAACGTCAACCATGCCGTGATGGCCCCCTATCACCAGCACGTCTTCTCTTTGAGAATTGATCCGACCCTCGATGGCGACAACAACAGTTTCATTGAGGAAGACTCGGTCCCCATGACATTCGACGACAACAACCCCGTTGGTGTGGGATACATCACCGAAAAGAGAGTCCTTTCAACCTCCGGAAGTTCGAAGGCTCAGCCGAACCGTGTGCACAAGATCATCAACCCCTCGATCATCAACAAGATTTCGGGAAATCCTGTGGCGTATTCTATTCACAGCCCGCAGAAACAGATGCTGCTGGCCCATCCTCAGTCATGGCATGGGAAGCGTGCAAAGTTTGCATTCCAGCCATATTGGGTAACTACCTACCGCGATGGCGAACTGTTTGCTGCTGGCGACTATACCTATCAGTCACTTCCAGATGATATCCCAAGAGGTGCAAATATTCCGAGAAAGGGAGATCTAGCAGCATGGGCTGGGCGGAACGACAAAGTCAATGATGAGGACATCGTCTTGTGGCATTCAATCAGCTTGACGCACAACCCTCGCCCCGAAGATTATCCAGTGATGCCTTGCGAGACGATGATGGTGAGCTTGAAACCCAGTGGGTTCTTCGAGTACAACCCTGCTCTGGACGTACCGCAGAGTACTCAAAGAACGAACCAGAGTTTTCTGTATGAAGAGCGGCAAGGTCAGATTAAAGACTCTTGCTGTGGGCCGAAGCTTTGAAGCGATCGGCTTGAACTGAGAGAGAGTCAGGCGTTTGATTAGAGAACAATTCCTTCTCATAGGCTAGGTCTTGATATGAATGTCATCTTTTTTGCCATGTTCTCGTCTCTTCTGAAGCTCGTGAACTTTGATACAGAAAACAGTGTTCTGTTTCACCGTTGCTTGGTGGTCTTGGTGCTTTCGCCTTGGTATGCATTCAAACTGTGTGTTTCCTCTCCCAGCATGATGGTTTCAACCAAGAAATAGCAATGCTGAGATGTTCCCATTCCAGCGAACACGTTCCCGGTAGAGCATGAGGCTCACCAAGGAGAGATCAATAGTCAATATGATGGTCATACTTTCCTTCACAGATGGAAGTACGCCTGGCCCGAAAACAGCTCCAGTCCATTTACTGAGTGAAGGCCTGATTCCATCTCGAGTGCGGAAGTATGCTCTGTATCGACCCATTGGAGATCGATCCCATCTATGAGAGAGTTCGCCGCCTCTAGGTCAGTCTCAATAGCGGTATTCATGAGTGTGTCCGAGCTTGTCTCAGCTTCGTCGACAAACGACTCAGTAGCCATTTCGTGGATCATCCGTAATGTCGGACGATGAATAACGATTTTACTTATACCCTCCCAATTCTTTTCTATGCTTCTTCTCCCGTCTCCACTCATCATTATCTGTCTTTCCCATGTCTCGCCAACTGGTACTTCCCTTGCTAGAGTTTCGAAGACATCCCGTATTGATTCTGCTTCAGACCAGAGCTCAGCGAGTATAGCCAACGTACTAGAACAGGCGCGAATAGCATCGGAAACATCGGCAGATTTGTAAGAGGGCTTCCAGCGGGAGACTGGAGTGGCATAGAAGCAGTAGAGAAGTGTCACTCCAATTTGAAATTGTGTCAGAAGCTAGAAATGATGAGTAAGCTTTGGGTCAGAAAAAAAAAGGGAAAGCAGTTGACGTGGACTGGAGTGGTGTCAACGAGTGCCGAGAAGGAATAAGCGTACCCCAAGCCATGGCTGAGCGATCTCTTTTGCCATCTGAAATCTGCGGAATAAGATAAGTGCTTGGCAGCATGCCTGCACAGATAAGTCACCAGCTACACCTTGTGCTATTGTCCTTGTTGGTCGGTAGAGCATTACGAGGTTGTAATAATGTATCATCTTGAGCCACCCCAGACTTACATAGCCCTTTTGAGAGGGCTCTGATGATGTACCCGATTGTCGATTCCATTCTTTTAACTTCTCCAATGTGTTCGCCCGCCAAGCGAATGCCTCATCAGAATGAGTGACGAAACCTTTACTAAGGACTGTCTCTTGAATTTCTGATTCAAGTTGCCGGCTGGCTAGAACATGAAGGGCTGTCGAAAGGTTGGTAGGCGAATGGCACCCCAAAAGTTGAGACCCTGGCCGCACAGATGCCGCTGCGCTCAAAAGTTGATCATCGTCGATATTTTCAAAAATCTATGGATTGTCAAGCTCTCGTATCTTGGAAGGGGTAAATTGTCACATACAGGAACGGTAATATGGTCATCTCGAACTGAGCATGGAAAGTCATATGAGCTGCAAACTGCTCGATCGATTCCATATGCACACCAAAATATCCTGCGGCGATGCTGGATATGAATCACCATGTCACTGTTGGTAACTTGAGGCTCCGCTTCGCTCAGGTGCAACTGCGACATAATGCAAAATCGGATCGTCCAGGATGACAAAGCAATGATATTCTCCTGCGATGGCATATGTAGGGCGTAAATGGTGAGGAGAAGGAAACCTTGTGCGCGTATCAGGGGTTCGGGGCAAGCAACAAGATACCTAAGGTACTTTGTAGTTGCCAGAGTATAGAGAGCCTATATGAGAAGAATCGTCAGTTTTAAACCACGTTTCATTAAGGAACTCTTTTTTAAATACCTGAGATCTCGAAGGTCCATTAATGCGGACCTTCGTCATTAGAAATGCAATGGAATACACCTAGTTGATACTTAGCGACGAATTGTATTACTGTACCCAATGATGCATACCATGTAAACGAAAAACCCCTTCCATCGTGTGGATTCGGGGACAACATGTCCTCGATCTTTCCAAGACTGAGCCCATTCCAGAAATTGGTGCTTGAGTAGAAATGGATACTGGGAATGAGCCATGTCGAAGTAGGTCTGGAATAGGAATCGCTCTGTATCCGAATCCACATCCAATGCTTCGGCAGAAAAGTCATCCTGCATTGCAGGAGGTGTTTGATTAGAGATACCGGCTAAGACGCCAAAGAAATTAGGGCCGAAGTGGTTTGGAGGCGTATAAGCCAAAGGCATATGTGCTGTGTAATTTACTGCCTCATGCTGATGCTGGAGCGGAGAGTCAAGTTGGGCCGGATAGTCTTGATAGTCATTGACAACCGGTGGATGAGACTAAAGAGTTGATCAGACGCATTGTATCATTGGGAGCAAGTGAGGTCATGTTGAGTGTCCATAATTAAAGCCTTGCGATTGTGCAACATACCTGAATGTCTGCTCCGGGTGTGGAAGCTGTCCTATCCTCTGAACATGTCCCATTGATATGGTCAAGACTCTCTTGAGGAATGAGTGATTCCAGTTGCGCTATCCGCTCTTCCAAACGTTGCACATATCTTAGAAGGAGTTAAAGACCTGTACGAGAGTAGGCTTGGCCTTGTGAGGTAGTCAACTTACTGGGCTTCTAGAGGCGGCTTCGTGGCTGCCGATTTGAATGGAATACACTCTATATACGGTCAGATGAGGCTCGATCGGTCCAGGGAGTACATAGCCCTTACCAGAGCCGGATTGAATACAATTTTCACAGGGCCGGACCTCGGTACACTTGAACAACACTGTTAGAACGAGATGGCGTAACGGGATGTCGATTGGTACTCAAGTGACCTTTTGCTTTCGATGTCGACAACGAGCGCATGCCAAAAGCTTCGCCCTCTTGGGTTTCTCCTGCTCCGCTTGCGCGGCCATGCTCTCAATCTTCGCTAGACTTTCGTCCCCGCGGTAATATCAGCACTCTCCGCCCTCCGATTAAAGGTGGGTGGTTCATGCTGCCAATCCGTTGCCATAAGCGTAGTGGGTCTTCCTCCCATGAACCTGTGGAAAAAGTGTTGGTCCGGCACATTACGAGTCAAACGGCATCATGTACCCAGCAGGTCCATCCCGTCCAGCCATCGGACCAGCAGTCCGATGTGCTCCTATCTCTCGAGGCGCTTACCACATCAGGCTAGCCACTTCTTTCATAGCCGCTTCGCAGAAAGTGCCGAATGGACGCATTAGCTTCAACCATTGTGGACCTGAGCATATGCGAAAGGACCCTCAAGCAGTAAGTAGTACTATAATTAAAGATTTAGGAAGCTCTGAAATGCAGAGTAAATATTGTTTTTTCAGATTTTCGACTTTGCAGGCCTACAAGACGTTCATGGTCAAGTAGCTAATCATGATTGTACTACAGCAAACTATTAACATTGCTGTTTTCAATTGTGGTTATACATGTCCCAGCATTCAAGAGGCTCGGGGACAATATCACGATATTTTCGCCTCATTATTGAAACCAGCTGCAGAGCGAGTCTGTAGTAAGGTCTCTAAGTCAACAAAGGTTGATTTGAACGTCACAGGGTGGGATACTGTTAATCAAGTATATCCTGCAACATTAGACGACATAGCAGCTATCATCATTAGCGGATCGCCCAACGGAGCATACCAGGACCTGGACTGGATTCATGCGTTAAACAAATATCTTTCACGTATGTGAAGTGAGCCAACTCTCACAATAGTGTCATGACTGACCTCCGCTAGGGATTTATCTATCTCACCCTTCGATAAAGCTCTATGGGTCATGTTTCGGCCACCAAATCATCTGTCAAGCCATCTTTAGTGAACAAGGTGCTATTGCAAGAAAGAATCCTGCTGGCTGGGGCCTAGGGGTGCATAGCATAGAAATAACGAACGAATTCGCGAAGACATTTTCCAGATTTATCCCTTCAAAATCATTACGGCTCCAATTTCTACACGGTGATTACGTTGTCCTGCCTCCTTCAGAGCTTCCCGACGATGTTCAATTCGTTGGTTTTACATCACACTGCCAAGTCCAGGGCATTTATCAGACAAAGAGGATTCTCACGTTCCAGGGTCATCCGGAATTTGATCAGTTCATCGAAACAGAATGTCTGAAGCTTGTTAGTAAGCGCGTGGGATGGGAATCCGAATTCACCTTTGCTGCTATTGCGTCGGCACAGCAAAATGATGATGCCACAGTTGCGGCAGATATAATAATGGCATTTATCCTCGGTCTTGAAAACGCCTTATAGTAGAAAGAAGCATTGGGATGCTACGCTTGAGCATAGTTTTTGGGCCATCTTAAATATGATGTTCTCAACTCGATGAAGAGACTTTGTGTGCCTCCATGATGTCCTTCATCCGCTTGATACCCTCCGTTATTCGATCTTCCTTATGGAAAGCCCAGCAGAGCCTAATGGTATTTCCATATCCATTCTCGGATCTCTCTTTGCTTCCCTCGTCACCTTTAACCTCGAACATCTTTCCGTATGCAAATTTCAACTGATGCTGCTCTATCGCAATTTTGGCAAGAACCGAGGCCGGAGGGTAGCCTCTAGGCAAGGTAATCAATAAGAAGAAGCCACCTGCAATCAACGTCTCACCATCATTGCGCGGTGATTGCCCCGTGCCACCCAAGACAGCTGTTGAGTACGGTGCTCCGGTTGTGATCTGAACTCCGAGGGGTTCGAGGTGCTCTTTGATGGCAGCGATCATCGCGTGATACCGTGCTGAATAGCATGGAATTAAGTTGTCCTGAATGTGACGCTCTAAAGCGCCAGATGAGAGCATCTTCTCAACGAAAGTTGAAGCAAGATGACTAGGGTTTCCACCTGAAATCGAGGCTCCACTAAGATATAAGTTCAGCAAGATTACGTCAACTCAATGTCATGACATTGTGTGTACTTACGTGGTTGCCAGGAAAGTTGCGAATGCCGACGTACTCTGTGCCCAAGAGACCCGAATTCCAGGAGCGATAATCTTTGAAAAAGAACCATTGCTGACTGTATTTCCCCATTTACTCTCAGGATCGATTTCTCGGTTGACGTCAACAAGTCGTGGAGGCAGGCTCAATCTTGTGCTGCCTAAGGGTTCGTCCTTTTCATGTGGCCAATAAAGGAAGTCGTAGACATCATCAGAGATAATCAGTGCTTCATATTCGATTGCTAACTTGACAAGATCGTAACGGTGCCGCAGGGACATAGTCTTGCCACTGGGATTAGAGAATGTGGGCACCAAGTAAATGATATGCTTGTAGATCTTTTCGTATCCTTTTGAAGGCATTTTCAGCTTAGGTCTATCCGGTGCAGCGCATTTGGCAATGTCCGCCTCAGCCTCCGCAAGACCTTTTCGCAGAAACTCCAAATCAACGCCTTCGTCATCTTCTGGAACACCTCGAAGTTTGCCAGTAAAACCACAATCTTCAAATATGGGACAAGCCAGGAAATATGTTGGCTCAACCATCCATATGCGTCTAGTGTAAGTCGGATCTGTGAATCTGAGGAGGATGTTGGATAAATTCTGTGATGCGCCTCCCGCAACGCACAGCGAACTTTCTTCGACGGCTTGAGGATTGTTATGATACACAGATCCAAGCCATCGTGCCATTTCCTTCCGCAGAGGAGCATTGCCCCTGCTTGGGCCGTATATCAAGGCCGCACTAGCAGCGTCAAACTCCGTCAGAACGGCATTTGCACCTTGGTTTAACTCTGCTGAGGGGAACAGTTCGGGGGATGGCCAGCCCAATTGCAAATTGATTTGCTTTCCTGTCGGAAGAGAAGAAGTCATGGCAGCAAGGGGAAAGACACCAGTGTAAGTTCCAATATTCGTATGCGATTGTAAAAAGAAATCCGCCTCCAAATGAACATACCCGATTAGATTCGCATGCGTTCTTCGTCCATCATAGTAAATGCCGAAACAATACTTATTTTCGGCTACATAAGACCGCTGATCGCTTGCATTGCTAGAGCATAGTAATGTGTAGGAAAATCTCAATGGCTTTTCGGGCGTCCTGTCCGATGGGGTGGATGATAGAATCGGAGACTATGGTACTAACTCAACCTCCATCAGCACAGCGGCGGCCCACCTTCCTAGGGGTGTTCTGCCCCCACATCCCATGGCCACTTTCTCTGCGCAGCGTTTTTTTCTCTACATTAGAACCCTAGTCAATCCAAAGCATGTAGGATCTTAGTGCCTAGTCAAGACATCTTTCATTGCATTTTGCCGCGACTCGACTATGGCGCAACAGTTGCCATTCCAGGTGCGTGGCAACAGTCAATACCCTCGCGGGCGTAATAGCTCATGATTAACGAGACCGCTGTTTAGCTGCTTCGTCCCTCCTTATTTAAAGCACATTCTTTAGTAGACGGCAACTGGGTGAACGCGGCATCGGGGAAGCGATTTAACGTCATAGGTTAGGCGGCGGTATTGACGAACTTGACCCATGACTAACCATCTTAGATCCTGGAACTGGGGAACATTGGGCCACCGCACCAGACAATGACGCCAGCGATGTGAATGCTGCTGTCGAAGCTGCTCAAAGAGCTTTTGTCACATACAGCAAAATCAGCCCTCGAGTTCGTTCTCGTTACCTTCACACATGGGCCGCACTCATCCAAGAGAATAAAAATGATCTGGCAAAGATCATTACCTATGAGAATGGAAAGCCCTTGGCAGAGTCTTTAGCAGAACTTGACTATGCTTACAATGCCGCCTGGTGGTTTGCCGGCGAGGCAGACAGAATCCAGGGAACAGTCTTCGATTCCTCGACACCGAGCAAGAAAGTCATGACGATCAAACAACCCATTGGAGTGGTCGCAGCACTAGTTCCCTGGAATTTCCCTGTAGCGTGAGTGACCTCAATCTTGCCTAATGGGATCCTGCTTACATCTGAAAGCATGATTGCACGTAAAGCAGGAGCGGCCCTAGCAGCCGGTTGCACCATGGTAATCAAACCATCTCCAGAGACGCCATTATCAGTGCTTGCATTAGCAGCATTGGCCGAGGAAGCCGGATTTTCCAAGGGGGTTTTCAACATTCTGACAACAAGCTTGAGCAACACTCCGAGCCTCAGCGAAGCCCTCTGTCGCCACCCTCTTGTCAAGAAAGTCACATTCACAGGCTCTGTGAGTTGTATTACTGCCCATGCTTGACTTATCTGCTAACAATGAACTTTAGACAAGGATAGGCAAGCTCGTGGCTAGAATATGCTCCGATGGTTTGAAGAAAGTCACTCTAGAACTTGGCGGCAATTGCCCCTTTATCGTGTTCGACGATGCCAACCTGGATCAAGCAATAGATGGTAAGAAACTTTCTTGTATAAGTTTTTTACCTAAAACAAAAAGCTAACGGTGTGTAATAGCGCTGATGAGCTTAAAATGGAGGAATGCTGGACAGGCGTGCATCAGTGCCAACCGGGTGTACGTTCAGTCTGGTATCTACGAAAAGTTCGCCGCGATGGTGAAAGATCGAACCTCAAAGCTTGTCGTGGGCCACGGTAGCTCTCCAAACTCTACATTGGGTCCCGTCACAACACCTCAGTCTCTAGATCGAGCAATAGCACAGGTCGAAGACGCCAAAACACATGGCGCGCGGATCCTATTGGGAGGAGAGAAGGTGAATGGCGCGTCTGGATACTTCTTCCAACCAACTATTATAGCGGATGCAACAAAGACCATGCGTGTGGCTGACGAAGAGACGTTTGCACCTATTCTGTCTTTATTCAAGTTCAAATCGGAGATCGAGGCTGTTCAAGCTGCGAATGATACATCTGTAAGTGAATAATGCTTTGCTGTACATAATGACGGTCACTGACCATTTGGCCAAAGATGGGCTTAGCCTCCTACGTTTTCACCAAGAACCTAGACAGGGCATGGAGGCTCATGGAGGACCTCGAGGCTGGCATGATTGGACTGAATACAAGTAAGTCAAGCTTAGCTCGCCTCGCATATTTGCTAACAGTCTAAGGTGCAATTTCAGGTGCTGAATCGCCGTTTGGTGGAATGAAGGAATCTGGATATGGGAAAGAGGTGGGCAAGGACGTTGCAGTAGATGAATACCTAATCACGAAAGCTGTTTCCGTGGGATTGGAAAGCCGGCTTTGATAGTTTCTCCAGTATAATCATAGCATGTCTGGAGCTACTTAAATGATTTACATCAGTCCTTTCCCTCGTACTGATATGATAATCAATCAGGCGGTATTTATCTCCCAAACGGACGTCTAGGCGGCATGCACAGCAATTTCGGTGGATACTCAACACAGGCCACCGAAATCACCGTGGAAACGGAAAGTCATTGATTTGTGAGCCGTATATAAGCAATACGATAGTTTTAACAAATTTCAAGAACACTGAAAATTCCGTGATAGAAACTTGCAATAGGGCGACATGACCAGGTTATCCTATGGCTGCTAGACATCCTCACATCCTTGGAATTGTTTTCTGAAGTCCAACAGACTAATTAGTCCCAGCTATTTGAAACCCGGCAGGTTGGTCAGAGTTAAACATGTTTTACCTTTTACGGTCTAGCCATTGCCACTCCTAACACTAGCGTATTTTTTCGGGCTCATCGGACGACATAGAAATGAGAGATATCACACATGATTGGTCATCGGACTTTTTCGGACAGCACCTTAGTGTAGAGATTGATAACAACCAAAAGAGCGCTGGATCTGGGGTTTAATTTCTAGCTGTGTTAGTGAAGATTTACCGACGCGTCCAGATGCCCAAGAGAGAGGAGAGTTTTGTTTCTCCATATGTGAAGAGCACATGCCGCCACTTCACCTCACTTTATCTAACATGAGGTTCTCACCAACGAGATCTATATAACACCAACTGATCCTCCGTCCCCTCCCGCTCCCCTCAACAGAGTCAAGAAGCAGAGTCTTCAAGATGCCGGAGATGGAAAGCAAAGAGATCGTTGCGGTCACAAATGACAACACCACCGAAGTTGACATCGGCAAAGTTGACCCCGCCAACGATGTCGTGATCGATGATGGCGTACGACGTGCTCTCAAGTCCCGGCATCTTCAAATGATTGCGCTGGGAGGAGTAATCGGTCCTGGGACGTTCTACGCCACGGGGTTCGCTTTACAGTATTCTGGACCTGTTGGGTCGCTAATTGGTTACATTATCATTGGTCTTGATGTACTCCTTGTTACTCAGTCCCTAGGAGAGATGGCTACGTTGTTCCCTACTACCGGCTCTTTCAACGAGTTTGCTGGCCGTTTCGTGGACCCTGCTCTCTCGTTTGCTCTTGGATGGAACTATTGGTATATGTGGGTATGTGATCGCAGCTAAGACCATGATCTCTTCATAAGAAAGCTGAATTGTGCTTTATGACAGGGAACGATATTGGCAAACGAATACAACGGAGCTGCGTTGATCCTCAGTTTCTGGACAGATAAAATCCCCAATTATGGGTGGATTCTAATCTGCTGGGCTTTCTTCATGGGCACTTCTCTTCTTGGAGTCCTGGTATATGGAGAGATGGAATTCTGGCTGGCTTCCTTCAAGTTTGCCGTCACCCTCATATTATACATTGTTGCAATGTAAGCTTTTCGAAAGCCGTTTACAAGTATTCCCATAAACTGACTCGATATAGTCTTATCGACACTGGAGCCATTGGAAGCGGTGATTATATTGGCTTCCGTTATTGGAAAGATCCCGGTCCCTTCGCAAATGGTATCAATGGATTCGGCAAAGTCCTGGTTCTGGCCGCCGTCATGTACTCCGGTACTGAAGCTGTCGCGATCACTGGTGGAGAGTCTCGAAATCCCAAGAAGGATATCCCCAAAGCATTGAAACAAACCTTCTGGCGTATTCTTATCGTATATGTGGGCATGGTCTTCTTCACCGGATTGATTGTTCCTTCCAACTCTGAGGGCTTGCTCAATGCCACATCAAAGTCAGCGTCATCTCCCTTTACCGTTGCATTGAACCAGGCCGGTTGGGGAGGCGCTGGAAACCTCATCAACGCTATTATTGTTGTCACGCTTCTGTCTTCGATCAACTCAGCAATCTATATTGCAAGTCGATGCATTTACGCTCAAGCAAAGGTTGGACGAGCGCCATCAATCTTCGCGAAAACGACACAGAACGGGGTTCCGGTTAACGCCATCGTTTTCACTAATCTATTTGGATTGATCTCATTACTCAATATTTCGGAAAATGCCGGAAATGTCTTCAACTATCTGCTTTCCATTTCAGGCTCGGCAGCATTCATTGCCTGGGCTTTCATTGGACTGACACATTTACGTTTCCGCCAGGCGATGAAGGCGCAAGAAATGCCTGTTTCAGGGCTTCCCTTCAAGTCGTTTGGCTACCCATACGTGCCCTGGACTCTGTTCGTCGCCAACATCTTCCTTGTCCTTATCTCTGGCTACACGACGCTTTTGCATCCTTTTGATCTAAAAGGATTCATCTTTTCTTACCTAGTTATTCCCATCTTCATCATACTATACATCGGATGGAAGCTATATCATAGTGAGTGGACGGACCTTCCTCTTTGATCGACTAAAATCATTGCTGACTCTAACCAGAAACTAAATGGGTCAATCCTGCTGAGGCAGATATCACCAATGGTAGAAGAGAATGGCTGGGTGGCATGGATGAAGAAGAGTCTCACGGAGGGTTCTTCAGGAAAGTAAAGAATGTCGTAGTAGGCTAGACTTCTGCGGTTTCAGTCATAGAAATAGCCATGCGATCAAATGTGCATATCACGTTAAGAATCAGATGGAATGCATTTCATCTGTAGTATCTGAAGTTGGCATATATAAATATAGGAGCTTATCGAAGTAGTTTGAGCGCTGCACCCCTTTCCATGACCAGTATACTCCTATTGAGATAAAATGATGAATCAGTTGATAAACAATTAAATACCATGTTAACTTAACTGTTCATGCCATAGAATTACTGCTCAATCAAAAATTTCCAACGCATATCGTCACGTACGGAAGTGCGAATTCACCCAAGATTCTTGCGACTAGGGTTCCATCGGAATGAGGACCGATGCGCTATTCAGGTCTCCACCCAACCTAGACTTCCGCTAGCTGCTTCTTGTCGCGACGAATGGCCGTCGGACACATGAGGCCGAAGTACTTGATTATCTTACTGATCAATAATTGATTGAGGAGATATGTATTGGATTTCACGATTGGAACAATTGACGTCCGATGGGAGTGGATCAGGGAACAGCGGCAAATGGGGCGTATGTCGATTGTGTTTGTTAGATTTAGTAAGACGTAATTTAATTTCCTTCTATTTATGATTGTATCATTTTCATATTTCGAGCCTGGTGTACAATACAGCTCCATTTTCAATCCTCCTGCAAATCCGATTCCTCTTTTTGCATCATCCAAGTTGGTCCCACGAGACACAGCAGCACAAAATGGCAGCAAGCACTAAGACATTCGCATGCGATGATAGGGTTCTTGACCCAGCTATCAAGTCTCATATTGCAAGTCTTTATGCTGCAGTGGATAGTAAAGACCTTGAGGTTTGGGGGGCACATTTCACCGAGGATGCTGAGTTGAAGAAAGGCACCTCTAATGTGAAGGGAAGAGCTAGTAAGATCTATGGACTTCTTTGAATATGACGCAAGATCCAAACGAATATTTATTGACTGCTGCCCCCTCGTAGAGCTAGTTGATCTTGTGACAAAGTCTTGGGGAACTCTGGAGAGTCGCGATCATACAGTGTATGCGGTCTTTCCCTTCGGCCCAGTAGCGGAGGAGGTCATGTTACATGGAAGAAGCAACAATGTTTACAAAAGCGGCGAGACTGGCACATTCACATGGGCGGCAAGAATGCATTTTACGAGAAGTGATGATGGCAAGGTTTTGATCGACAAATACACGATCATCGTCGTAAGCACGGATGAACCCCTAGCTATCTTACCATATCAGCCACGCTTACTATCATAGGATCCTCATCCCTCGATCTACTAACACTTCTGTGGCGAACGCACATGAATTATTTGTGAGAGCCGAAAAATCGCGATCATAAAAGGTCTACTACGGAATTTGGATGCCTCCAGATAGCCTTGAAGCAATGGGGGGCCAAAGAAACCAATGCATAGATGGAGCATGTTTAGAAGCGAATAGTCACAAGTTGCTGAGATTGGGGGGGTCATACTCACATGTCTCAGTCTATTACTGGCAGCTTCTACAATCAACTATCGATTTTGCCTCATATTGATTATTTTGCCTAACATAGAAATAGACCAAACCTTTAGGTGCCGTGGTCAGCCATCCTCATCAGCACAGATCTCCCACAACATCCTAGATGTCGTGCGGTGAATACCACTTTGTTCTAACTGACGGACAAGAACCGCCAGACTCTGTTTTGTGTCTTTAGGGAGATGGCCTAATGGCTGACTTCGGGGGATGGATACCGCCAACAATTCGAAACAGTCCCGATAGTATTCCGCCTTGGGCCATCTATCTGCAAAAATTGCTAGAACAGCGCTACAGTCACGGAATGCGTTGTTTGCCTCTCTCGGGACCGGAATTGCCCTCGCCCATACAATGTACCAGAGAGTCACAGCAGCTCGAAATTGTGACAAAACCTGGACAAGTCAGCGGCATAGATCGGTCACAGGGGGGCTGAACGTGCTTACCACGAGCCATGGTTGCGCTATCTGCTTCTTCTTTTGAAGCGATCGGAAACTAGTGCACGCCGCACAGCTTGCTTCAAGAGCATTATCCGCTATAGAAGAAAAAATGTTCGTTTTGTTGACAAAACAGATCGAAAGTCGGGTGAGATGACCGATATGTTGAAGCCAAAGCGCGTTTTGATAGCCCTGATTACTCTCCACACTGCAAATATGACTTAGCTATCAACATACAAAATCATGCCTTGCCCATGAGTCCGACCAACCCATGGCTAGCCCGAGGGTGAAGCGACGTACCTGTGTCCCGAGATAGCCTCGGGATCCTCCCATTCCCTCAAGCTCTTCAGCATGTGCATTTCCAGTTCAAGCGGTACCGTGTCCTCCAAATCATCTTTCTCTATCATGTGTAAGAGAAAGGATTGCATCGATCTGGCTTTGCAGATATGGGCAAAAGTTCTTAGATCAAAGCATGTCGTGTCCTCTCCGGAACCACAGTCCGAGAGCCAAGGAATATGAAATCTAGCTATAGATGTACCGTCGAAGAGGGGGCTCGAGATGTACATATCAGGTAGACTGACCGGGGTGCCGAGCGCTGAGCTCACTGCTCTGTCAAGACTGAATGGCTCGGGTTAAATTTGAACCTTCCACAAATTGTTATTTAATTACTTACACATAAGCACACGACCATACTCGGATTGACATCGAGTTGGAGGGGTCATCGACGTCTTTCTTCAGACGATGAAATCGATGTAATGCTGCAAATTTCATGATAGCGCCGCTGATGTGTGCTATTCGCCAAGTACTTTCCGCATGAAGGGCGAACATGGCAGACAACAGCATTGCTTGCAGACGAATGAGGGGCGTTGAAGTAGAATCCACCATAATAGATTGCTCTGCTTGTGCTCTTGACTTCAGAGTTTGGTACATCGAATAAGGTGAAGTGTCTGATTTGGATTCAATAAGAGATCCAATGGCAAATATCTAATTCTTTGTTAGTCGAGATTAGGTTACGATTGTTCGGGACATGATTACCATGTTGACGAAAAAGACTGGCCATCCAATCAACGTAGCATTTGCCAAAGACCGTTTCCATTCATCGTAATACTCGGCACATGTTTTGACATCGAGAAAGGGGTATTGTGGATGAATGACAGTAAAGTATGACCGAAAGAAGGATGCGGCGGCCGAGAGAGGTATATCATCCGGACACACACCCTGGTTACTTTGCGTCTCGGCTCCACCATTAGTCAAGCGTGACATAATAGTTGAGATGGTGCTGGCCTCCCCGTTGCCTCTATCAGAGCCACCTGGGTTGAAAGGAACTGAGCCAAGCAGCCCACCACTCCCAGGAGACGTTTGCTGAGATGATCGGCCTGCATTATGAGATGTTGGCGAGGCCTGCCATTGAGAGTGACTTCCACCAGTGGCACCCCGAGATGTGGAAGGCAGATTTGCAGATCGTGGCGTATCAGCTTGAAATAAATGAAAGGTGGAATCAAGAGATTCATTGAGATAATGCTGGTCCCAGCTTCCGGGGGATGGACGCGGCAACAAGATCTGCTGAGAAATGCCTGACGACATCGTCGTGTTACATGCTATGAAGACTGTTAGCACAAAGACATGCCAAGTCGGAACATGTTTGGCCGGCATACTGGTGCGCGCCGCAATGCAATTTTGACATGATGAGTCTTCCTCGAAGTCACATTGGTAGTTGTTCTGGGCACAGCGCTCGCAGGCGCGCTTCCTCTTTCCGAGTAGCGCTATCCCATTTGAAGGAGGAGACATCGTGTCTGGCTGACGGAATCCAGAAGCTTATGAATGTATGGAGATCTCATCCCCGAAGCTTGCCTGGTCATCTGTTTCGTTTGGCCATCGATGGACGTGTGGAAGCACTGCAATTGAGCAGCAACTGCTTCACTAAGACGATGATCACCCAGACCTCGATGCTTCCTCGTGACCGGTTTCACGGCTCCTTATCTGCAACAATGTCAACCAATAACAACGAGTCTTTGCTCGAAGTCACACAGCGGCCGGAGTCTGCGTTATTTTCACTGCGAAGCTTTCCAGCGCGATATGTAGCGGGGTTTGGGCTGACGTCTGAACCACTAAAGCGGTAGCACCGCCTGTCCTCCCGGCGGAATAACTAATGCACGAGTGGGCCAATCAAAACATCTTGACCATAGTGGTCTTTGCAAGCAGATCGAGGACGTCAACTTCATGGTCTGTCAAGGGACCAAGAAAACATTACTCCAATATTTCAATATAGGATATCTTGATTGACTTCCTCTCAGTAAGTCGCGCTATTACACTTGTCCGTGGTTGCTAAAGGGAGGTGATGCCACATGGTGCTAATCGTTACAACCAGGGAGCTCAGCTTTCAGTCTTCCAGTCCTTGGACAGAACGGATGGTGTCTATTCTATTTGTTCTCGATGAATTGAGCGCTTAAACTCCAATAACTCGCCTATCTATCTAGCACGCATCAATTGTCAACCTGAAAATAAATTGTCGAATATGTCACTCCTTGCTGTTTTTACTCGCCTGTGAAGTCTTATATTGTAGGGCCTATGGGACAGCGGGTTACCTGGGTGTGTTATTGACATCACTACCTCGGAACCTTTTCTGTCTTTGAAGCCCTGTCGCTAGAGTGACATGCTCTTGCAGCTCGTCAACTTTTGCCTCTTTTTATGCATATCTGTAATTATCTTTCGATATTGCGTGTCTGTGAGAAAGGAGTCTCAATATATCTGTGATCCTAAATGGCTTCGTACCCGCCACAGGCCCTTGTGTCTCTCGTAACGAAACCCCTTTAGCGATCCTTCAGATCCTACAGCAGAATATATATATGCCCTTACGCTTACCAGACACCTGACAGAGAGCCAAGTTCCTGCACCTACGTCGGGACTACAATACTTTGCCGTCAGGATGGAAGCCTTTCAGAAAATAATCCGGAAAATAGCCCTTGGTCGGCCAGCTCAAGGCTCCAACGTAGCCCCAAAAGTCCCAACTGATGAAGTTCTCAGCCCGTTCTTCTTCGACGATACACCACTATACCGCAATGCTGTAAGTTGCTGGAAACTTCGATTCAATGATGTTCTGGATGCGGATAAGCTGCATGCTGCTCTGACACAGTTGATTGAGGTTGGTGGTTGGACAAAATTGGGAGGGCGATTTCGGTTGAATGTAAGACGGGCGTGTAGCACCCGCCCGGGAATGCAGGCGCTGATACTAGACGAAGGGAGACAAACTTGAGATTCACATACCGCAAGCTTTTACTAGTGAAAGGCCAGCGGTCAACTATTCACACAAGTCATTCGACATCAGCATCGACGAGCATCCACAGGCCGCATCCTATCCTGACGTGAGGCACAGGGAGGGATCCTTCGAGGTGCCACATGGCCGCATTGCCGACCTTGGCCTGCCCGATAGCACACCGCGTTGCTTGGAAGATTATGTGAACTCCGACAGCTCGCAGCTCTCTCTACACATTGTGAACTTTACAAACGCCACCCTTGTGATGCTCTGCTGGCCGCACATTGCCGCAGATGCAATTGGCCTGCGAGAAATCGCCGCTGCTTGGAGTCTCGTTCTCGCAGGGCGCGAGGCTGAGGTGCCGCCGATGTTATCATTTCAAAATGACCCGATGTCGACGGCTGGTCGTGACCCGGGGTTTCAGGAGAGGCATTTTCAGCAAGATATCCTTCTCGAGCGACTATGGCTTATCTTCTGGGGCCTACGTTATCTCTTGGACACATGGTTCTGGCCGAAGATGGAGCCGCGCGGCATAGTCCTCTCACGAGAGGCAGTACAGAGGCTCAAAGATGCAGCGATTGCGTCCTTACCAGAAGAAGAGGGAGGAGGTAAGCCATTCATATCAAACGGCAATGTCATCTCTGCGTGGATTGCATCCATGACCGCGAGCGTCTTGCCATCCACATCGCGGCGAACTGTAATCATTTCTAACGCAATGGATCTGCGCGACCGAGCACCGTCGCTGTTTCGTGCAAGTGCAGAGCAAGGCTCGTACGTGCAGAATGCCTTGCTTCCTGTCTCCACAGTCCTTCCAGCGCAACAGTTATTTCCAAACGATGGAGGGTTGGGTCCAGCTGCCTTGGCAGTGCGACGCTCTATCGACATTCAAGGTCAAGAGGGGCAGGTGCATGCTCTCGCGAGGCTGGATCGGCGCTCATTGGCTGACGTGGGCATCCCGCCTGTCTTTGGAGATACAAGCTCTTTTTTTTGTCATTCTATCAAATTGGACCAAAGCTCGGATGTTCGACAAAGTGGACTTCGGGCCTGCTGTCGTCAGTCGACAATCTGGCAATCTCCTTAGTAAGTAGCAATGAGGAGACCTCGACGTTATTGAACAAAAGCAGACACTGATCAGAGACAGGTAAAGTTGAGAGTAGACCAGTGTATTACCAAGCTGAATGGGTGAGCAGAGACAACGTCTTTGCCCGGAACTCCTTGCTGTTTAGCGAGACGCCTTCGGGGGGTTACTGCATCGATGGCCATCTGCCTCCGGAGATCTGGCGCAAGATCGGAGATGCTATGCGTTGCATGTAAGCCCTCTAGACAAGGGCCCTGGCCGACTTGATTATCCAGGACCTTGATGCCCATGTCACGTAAGGGTCTCCCCTCGTTGCCTATTATTCGGGTCCTTGCCATAGCCGACTTCCAACTTGTGCTGTAGCGCTCCCCACCAGGTCGTGAAGTATGTGATCTGTCAGAGTTGAAGGGCCGAAGTTTCGAGGGATGGTTTCGAAATGGCTGGTGTCAATTTTGACATTCTTGACAGTCTTGACAGTGTTGAACTCTGTAAAGGAAGGGAGCAATGACAGCCAACTTGATTGCCATGCAGCACACTAAGCGCACACACTGCGTACTCTACCTAATACTTTACTCCATAGTAAATGTGCAACTGCTGTAGTACAGTATACAAGTAGAGGGTGAGCCCTCCGTATTGATGGATGGAGATATGGGATGGGGCCGACGGGTCACGGCAGCGGCAGCGGCAGGGAGCAATCAACGACGCCGAGGGAACGGCTCGCCCGAAATTGATGCGATGCTGGGCGTGGATCATTTCGTTCATTCATCCATTCAGTGCAGTTGAATGCTCTCAGATCCACGGATGGGTCCCCGCGACTCCCTGTCACAAGCGGTGTCATCATCCCCGGGCTTTTGGCACTTTGCAGCCGTGCAGATCTGTCACGCCAGCGGCCGCAGTCTAGAATGCGCCCATTCGCGCGGTCTCAGTGGCCGAATCCACTTCTGTCACTACCGTGATGATCGCTGGGTCCCCAGGCTCCAGGGCCTCCCCCAAAGGGCCCCTTATCCGCCGGCCGGTGGCATGCCATCGTAGCTGAAGCTCTCCAGGGTCCCTCGGGTTTCTTTACGCCATCAATCCACCCAGCTCCACAGCGTCATTGAAGAGCGTGGCCAGTGAGGGCGCCCGCAAGGCCCAAGAGTGCGCCAGAGCAGCCAGACGAGCGAGGCTACTATGCAGTAGTTGGAGCGATCGCCATCAATATTCTGGTGGCTTGCAGGGGAGCTATGCCCGATTGGGTTCTAAGGCCCTCTTTGGAGGCCACCGAAAAATCGTTGCTGCCCCTCTTTTGGCCTCTTAGTCTCCTTTGGGCTGGGCGCGGACTCTCCCGCCAGAAGCAGACGCTCGGTGCCGCCGTCGTCAGACCTGAGAGAATGAGAATGAAAATGACAATGCGGCTACCTTTGCCGAAGTGCCTCACTCATTGACAGACAGACACACTTCCAACTGACTATACACTATACACACACTACACTACTGCTGCAAGACATCTTCGTCTCGACCTGAACGAACCCAACCGTCCAACCATCTCGACTCCAGGCTCCAGAGAGCTGCTGAAACTCACTCGCCCGTCTGTCGGTCTGTCTCTCTGTCGGTCTACCTGCCTTGCCTTGCCTTGCCTTGCCTTGTCTTGTCTCTCTCTTCAGCCGGCGATGCAAGTCGCCGCCTCCGCCACAGGCACCAGCATCTGAAGCCCCCAATGAAGTGAGCGATCGAGACCGCTAGCTATCCATGGCCTGGAGTGAAGAGCTGCTGCCCGCAGCACTGGCCAGCAGAGGCATTTCGGTCGAACTGGTAAGCGATAAGGGAATCTGTGGCCTTGTCTCATCGAGCCTGTGTATGCTAATGAGAGATATCAGAATCAATCTGATCCAAGAGTCGGTTCTGGACGTGACAACTCCACTGGAGGGACCCTCAGCCATTTGGGAACAAACTCGTCGTCTCTGTCATCGCTGGGGAGCACTTTCGTGCCCGTCTTGATCTACTCGGCCGTATGCTTACTCGCCTTTGTCACCCTTCGCCGCCGTTGTTCCCGAGTCTACTCGGCCAGGACATTGTCGAGCATCAGACCACCCACGTAAGGAAGCATTCACTCATCACACGCCCTCGATGTCCCGCCGTTCGCATGCACTGACCATAGGAAACTCTAGACATCTGAGCCAATCGCTACCCCGGGGGTGGGTCGACTGGCTTAAGCCTTTCTTCTTCGTTCCCGAGAGATTTATCTTGAACCACTCCTCACTCGATGCCTTTCTCTTCTTGCGCTACCTCAAGGTACTCGGCATCATCTGCTTCGCTGGCGTTGTTTGTGTCTGGCCCATCCTACTCCCCCTCCATGGCACTGGTGGCCGTAAGCTCTCCGAGCTTGACCTCCTGACCATTGGCAATGTCGCCCAAGCAACGAAGTTCTATGCCCATGTGGTGGTAGCATGGGCGTTCTTTGGTTAGTCCGAATGCTACTCAACTTGTCTCCTAGATGCTAAGACGAGACTAGGCTTCATCCTCTACATGATATCGAGGGAGTGTATGTATTATATTAACCTGCGTCAGGCCTACCTCCTTTCTCCTCAGCAGGCAAATCACGTCTCCTCTAGGACAGTGCTCTTCACCTCTGTCCCGGAAAGGTATCTCAGCGAGAAAAGAATCCAGAAGCTATTTGGAGAGTCTGTTCAGCATGTGTGGATACCACGAAACACGAAGGCTCTCAGATCAATGGTCAAGGAACGATACGAGACTGCCGTGAGATTGGAGAAGGCCGAAATAGAACTCATTAAGCTCGTAAATGCGACACGAAACAAACAATTGCAGGCGAAACCACGAAAGCTGTTGGACTTTTCTGGCGCTATAGGCTTGCCGATCTACGGCAAAAAGGCAAAGAGCCCAAGTCAAGACGAATTACATGAGGTCGAGGAGACGTCGTCGAAGGATCCGGAAGGGCTTGAAATTGCTGAGAAACAACAACATTCTCCACTATCGAGTCCAGGCTCATCGACTGGAGGATCGACCGGAGAAAAATGTTCAGACCCCGAATACACTCACCCTTACGGCCTCGATAAGTCACTTCCCGACGTCAACGGATCTGTAGCGGCTCGCTTTATCCCGCACGAATCACGACCCACCCACCGACCTCTCGCAAATTTTGGACGAAAGGTCGACACGATTAAATGGACGCGGTCACGAATCAAGACGCTGAACAGACAGATTGCCAAGCTCCGTCGACAGCATCGAAGTGGCCGTGGCGCACCCATAAACGCTGTCTTCGTCGAATTCGATTCACAGGTCAATGCTCAAGCTGCCTACCAGATTGTTGCTCACCATCAACCACTACATATGTCGCCGCGATATATAGGAATTCGACCGGAAGAGATTGTGTGGAATTCGCTGAGAATGAAATGGTGGGAGCGTCCGATACGCAGGTTCTTGATGATGGGAGCGATCGCAGCTGGCGTCATCTTTTGGTCCATTCCGTCTGCCCTTGTCGGTACGATCTCAAATGTGGAATTTCTAAGCACCAAGATTTTCTTCCTCAAATGGATTGCCAGCCTCCCCGGTGTTATCACAGGCGTCATACAGGGTTTGCTTCCTGCCCTCGCCCTTTCCTTGTTGATGGCCATGGTGCCAGTCATGCTCAGGGGTGGGTTACCATTCTTTTCTGTTTTGCATCCTTTCCCATTGAGGAAAAGCATTCTAACATGACTACATTTAGCTTGTGCAAGGTTTGCAGGAACACCATCCCTGTCTATGGTCGAACTTTTCGTGCAACATGCATACTTCATCTTCCAGGTGGTGCAGGTGTTTCTGATTACCACCCTTACTTCTGCCGCCTCCGCAGCATTCACCAAGATTCTGGAGGATCCTCTGTCAGCGAAGGACCTTCTGTCGGAGAACCTTCCAAAGGCATCAAACTTCTACTTATCGTACATTTTGGTGCAATGTCTAGCAGCTGGCGCCAATGGGCTCGTGCATTTGCTAGAACTATTCCGACACGAGGTGATTGCGAGGTTTAGCGACGATCTACGATTACGGCACAGGCGGTACCATAAGCTCCGTGTAGTACATTGGGGAGCCATTTACCCTGTTTTCACCAACATGGCTGTGATCGGTAAGCAATTGAATGCCAGCCTCATACTGATACCGCGATTTTCAAGTTGAACAGTTGCTGATTACCTCCAATCTAGCTATTAGCTATTCCTGTATAGCTCCGCTAATTCTCGTCTTCGCGGGCCTTGGGATGTGCTTTTCGTACATGGTGTACAAGTATAACCTGCTTTACGTCTTTGATACCGAACTACTAGACAGCAGAGGCCTGTACTATCCGCGCGCTTTGATGCATCTCATGGTTGGATTATACCTGGCGGAGATATGTATGATCGGTCTCTTCGCCTTGCAATCTGCATTCGTCCCCCTCATTCTCATGGTCATGTTCTTGGTCTTCACTGGCCTTGTCCACATATCGCTCAACGAGGCGGTCAGCCCACTGCTGTACAACCTACCACGAACACTTGCGCTAGAGAGTGAAGAGCTGGAGCAGAATGATCATCCTGGAGGCACCGGAGGACCACTTTTACCTGAAGAGCACGCCGGAGGCGCAGCAGCCTCATATTACGACGTTGAAGAGGCATTTGAAGATGAGGAGGACACCCCGGATAACAACACACTCGACAGGAGTGTAGAAGGCTCCCGAGGCCTAATGTCGTTCTTCACGAAATTCACAAGAACTGCAATTGAGGAGGATCTCAATGCGCAAGCTCAGGAGTCCGGACTTACAGCAGTACTTGCCAAAATCAACAGATGGATTACACCTGATCCAAATAAGGTGCCCAATTTCTTCATGAGATGGCTCCACCCCGAGATCTATGAGGATTTTAAGACTCTTCGACAACTCGTCGATCAGATGCCACCCGAAGAGGACGCAACCGACAAATTAGGCCAGCGAGCATACTGGCCGCCAGAGATGTGGCTGCCAGCACCGAAGCTGTGGATCCCGCGGGATGAAGGCCGTGTGAGTAGGCAAGAAGTGGCCCACACGCGGGAGGTGATTCAAATCACGGACCGCGGTGCGTGGCTAAACGAGAAAAACAGGGTCGTGGCTGACTTCAGCGCGACGCCGTATGAGGAGGAAAGAGTAATGAATCGGTTCTGGTAAACTTGGATTTTTTGTATCGGCGCACACAATACCCGGGCGGAGGACTCAATGGGAATTTCCTGGTCAGAGCAATCATTGTACAAGTGAGATGTATTGTATAGTAGCGCACTCTTGTATCAACAATCAGCGTTCTTGTTGGACTGATAGCATATTACACAGCGAAACAACACAAGAATTATCGTAAACATCCGAGAAGACTACATCCTATTGCTTGTGCACGCATACTGTCTCTATAACAAAATGCTTGAACTTTGCCCTACACCTTTGGTCTCACAAAACTTCGGAGAGATTTGAACTCTCATGATGAGTCGTTGTTTAGATAGCTTGAGCCTCAATTTCAGCAATTTAAAGACTAGTAGTGATGCCAACTACCATGTCAACCTTTGCATGCGGCACGTATGTCGAACTACCGCACAGGTGATCTTCTACACCGATGGTTCCGATTCGATATCAAACTATGGTTGGAAGCGGGGTGTGCAATTCAGCCTGCATATGTCACGGATCCTATTTCTATTGCCGGGTTGCGGCGTGATTCTTGCGAGTCTGAGCACAGACTGTCAATTTTAGAAACTATCACGAAGTTGTAGAGAATACCTCACGTCACGAAAACTTCACATCTTCCTTAGCCACGTCTCCCCTATATCAGCCAAGTCTAGCAAGCCGTCGCCATGGCAGACTTTCCTCGCCTCCCGCCTTCCGGTATCAAGGTGATCATAGTTGGTGCTGGTTTTGCAGGTATCTCTGCAGCAATCGAATGTGATCGCAAGGGACACTCCGTCACACTACTTGAGAAGTCTGCCGATATCGAGGAGATCATGCGCATAGGCGACATCATCAGCTTCGATCCCAATGGGGCGCGGAACTTCGAACGGTGGCCGGGCGTCATCGAGGCTATGCAACGCATTGCCCGCCAGACAACCTGGCTAGACCTGTACGACTGGAAAGGTAATTTTATTACTCGGCAATCGTTCGCCAAGGAGAAGGCCTGGGGTCCGAGAATCAACGGACACAGAGGCGAGTTGCACAATATCATCTACCAGCATGCCAAAGACCGTGGTATCGACATTCGTCTTGGGCAAAGGGTGACTGATTATTTTGAGACCGACGATCACGCTGGAGTCGTATTGAATGGCGAAACTAGGATGACTGCTGACATCGTTATTGCTGCGGAAGGTGTGCGGTCTCGTGGACGAAAGATTGTGCTTGGGTTCGAGGATCGACCAAAGTCGTCGGGGTATGCCGTGTATAGAGCTTGGTTCCCGGGAGATGTGATTGCCAAAAATGACATGTTGAAGCATTTCGTCGTGAATGGTGATACTCATCAAGGCTTCATTGGGCCAGACCTTCACTTTTTAGCATCGTCGCTCAAGGGCGGTAAGGAGTTCAACTGGGTATTTACACATATTGATGACGGCAACATCGAAGAGAGCTGGCAGTTTCCGGGGAAGGTGGATGAAGCACTTACATATCTGGACGGCTGGGCGCCAATAGTGAAAGAAATGGTGAAATCAACGCCCAAGACGGGAAGGTTGATCGACCACAAGTTGGTATTTCGAGACCCTCTGCCAACATTCATCTCCCCAAAGGCGAGAATCGCGTTGATTGGGGATGCCGCGCATCCATTCCTCCCCACATCAATTCAAGGCGCAAGCCAATCCATTGAGGACGGTGTCGCGCTGGCCATTTGTCTCGAGCTAAGCGGAAAGAAGAAAGTCCCGCTTGCTGTTAGGGCGTATGAGAAACTCAGATATGAAAGAGTACATAAGGCCCAAGCCACTGGCGTCAAGACGCGAGAGAAGTGGCACCGAGCTAATTGGGATACAATTCGGGAGAACCCAGAATCGTTGCATCTGACTAGGGAGGCATGGCTTCTCAATTTTGATGCTGAGGCGGATGCCTATAAGAGGTACAATGAGGTTGCGGCTACGCTACAAACTACGAAGTCACGACTATAACCCACTATATAGCATGTACTGCTACCATCAATCAGTCAGAATAATGTCGCCTTTGTCGCGCCATAATCCCATAGAAATAGATTCAGATGGTCACCATCGGATTAACTCTCCAAAAGGCGGGTGTAGAGTTTGATGTATGGCGAGAGATAAGTCTAAGGCTTGTTTTGAATGCCTTATGTAGCTAATATTAGCTTTCTTCTGGCATTAAAAATGCTTGGTCTCTTTCTACCTAAGTAGTTAAATGCTTTTCTGAACTCTTAAGCAACAAAGGTCATCGAGGAGGAGGTCATATCAAAGAGCAACTTACGTAATCAGCCCATATCAATCTTTGTGGCCAGTGAAAAACGTTCAAGCTAACGCCTTCCGCTTCACTCTGAGACTGAGAGTCACAACACTCTTTACTTGCGGAGGTCACCTCGGTAAATGCGACTTGCTCTCTAGACAGTGCTACTGTTTGATCTTTGGGCACCGAATGAGAACTGGGCCTGGGCGGGAAAGTCGCTGCTGGCCTGATCTCATTCCGTCTCCAATGGTCCGAGCCTCCAAGCGAGTATGACAATCACAACTACCACCACTTTTATCGTATCAGCCCTCATTCTGCTTCCTCTAACGGTGGCGATTTATTCGCTGTTCCTCCACCCACTCTCACGAATACCTGGACCTGCGCCTGCCTCCATCTCCAATGCATGGTATGCATATCATGTCCGAAATGGGTCTATGTTAGCGCTGGGTAAGACCATTCATCGCAAGTATGGGCCTGTCGTTCGTATAGGTCCAAAAGAGGTTTGGCTCGACAGCAAAGCAGCCTATCGAATGATTTATAGCAAGTCATATGCTTTTCTATTCTGTGTCGAGGCACATCATACTGACCAGAACAACTCACAGGTGCTTCTAATGGGCTTGAAAAATCCGACTTCTACCGTGAGTGTTGTTCTATCGCTGCTCTTTTCGAAAAGGTGCATAGCGCTGAAACTCGCGATCACAAGTGGCAGCTGCGCTGCTCAAACCTCGGGTTGACTGGCAGTTCTGTATCAAGTCACCCGATACTCTAGATCTGCTAGCTGAGCGGGACATGAAGCGATATCGTATCCAAAGACGACTCATCGGGCCAATTTATCACATCAGCAACATCAAAAGGCACGAAAAAGCCCTCGATGAAGTGTTGCAAAACGTGATCATTCAGATCAAGGCTTTGCAAGGAGCTGAAGTTGACTTGAAGCAATGGATGCACATCATCATTGTAGAGTGTCTTGGTGCTGTGAGCTTATCATGGTCACCGGGATTTCTTCGAAACCAATCTGATGGTGGCTCAGGTGATCACAGTTATTTGGGCTGGAGAAGAAAGAGTGTTTTTGGATTGTTCCCAGTGGTGGTTGTTGCTGAATCATACTTTAAGTGGTTCGGACGGAAATTCGCCTACCTCTGGGGACTGACCTACAAAACACCGGCACGCTTCAGGCCATTCTTTGTCGTGAGTCACATTACCTACTCCGTTTTCATAGCCTATCTGGGAGACACTAACTGCCTTCACCAGCCGGTCTCCCGACAAATTTCTAAGAGGGTAGCTGCTATTTTTCGCCCCAACCCCCCAAAGGACACTCGGACCGACCTCTTAGCAGATCTTATACGATTACACAAGGATAAACCTGAGTTCAACGATACTTACCTTCGGCGGATGGCCACAACAAATTTTGGAGCTGGACATGAGACCACCACATCCGCCGCCACGGCCGTGCTGGCGATGCTTGGTACACATTCCGATCAGCAGAAGAGGGTTGCCGAAGAAGTCAGGTCAATGTCCCATCCATCGAAGTATGACAATGCTATTCGTTTGCGTTACACTCAAGCAAGTATCAAAGAAGCTCAGAGACTTTATCCCGTAATTGGGATGTCTCTGCCACGCAAGGTTGGAAAACAGGGGCTACATTTGCATGGGTACTTCTTTCCTCCAGGAACAACAGTTGGTTGCAATCCTGTGTCACTGCATCGTAATGAGGATATATTTGGACCACAAGTTGACGACTTTCAACCAGAACGTTGGCTCAGATCAACCGATACTAAGGAGATGGATCGATACAACTTGACGTTCGGAGGTGGAGCACGAACCTGCCCTGGGAGACATTTGGCCGAATTCATTCTCTATAAACTTGTATCTGCCCTAGTCCAAGAGTTCGACCTCGTAGCTTCCATGCCATCTGAGCAAGAGATCCGCTACTATTTTATGGCTATGCTGACGGGCGTCAGGATACGGTTCCTGCCAAAGACAGCGTAGGGCTGTTAATAGACAGTCCATTAAAGTTTTAAGTAGAACGAAGACCATAGGATGTGGTTTGAGACCTATCCTCGGCGTCCCTATGACCATGACATATGTGAGGGCAAAATCACGGCAATTTCGGAGAACTTCCCGCTAGGGTTTGATACAGAACCCTCTCGACCATATGAGATATCATTTCGACTAGAACTCGCTTGAGTGATTAGTGTGGTGGCAAAAGTTTATGAGACTATTCTAATCAAATGCTCAAAGTCCTACTTATTGCGCTCTAGTACCTTAAGCAGGTACGATGCCCTTGTTAATCAGGCATTACTTCTGGCTTAGATGTCCTGACAAATGCATTGTTGATTTGCCGACGCGCCAAGTGCTGAGCGGCTTGACGTACAATGGTGAAAGCGAGAAGTCGGAAGTCTCAAGCGCCGTAATGCTTACCCCATGCCAAGAGAATTTGCTGCTATCCCGTAGTCTGGGAAGATGCTGACTAGATATTCCAATCTGCGATGATGTTAGAATACCAATCGAGTAGATATTTGGTTTTACCTCGGCTCTTTTCTGATCTGACCTTGCATTCAGGTCAGCAATGGCGTTTTCCACGTCGAACCAGCTCTCCTCTCAAGAAACAAAGGCTACCTTTCTTGGAACGGGGTCTCGGACATGTATAGCATCCACCACAAGAGTTTTCCGACAACCTTATTTAGAAGCTTCGTTCGTAAGGATTGCCTGGTGTACGTCTGTGTTGTCTGGGTGGCTCCTTGCATTGCTAGTCGTGACGGGAGCCAATGAAAAAGAAAGTTGCGTTTACAGAACAGGCAACTTCTAATGGCCATCAGTCAAGTTAGCTTGTAGCCTACGAAAGCTGAAGACTATCGTAAGGCTTCAGCCAGTCTCGGCACCAATTCATGGATACTAAAACAAAAGACCCTACTATTTTGATGTTAGTGATTCCAGGTTGTCGCAGGGCTTAGGCCGGCGAACTGGATCCACGTAGCCCCTGCTAGACCCCATGTGGCAAAGTGCTGACATGCTGAAATTACTTCGCCTCGAGTTGTCATTAAATCGCAAGATTTTGTCCCCAAATCAATGGAATTTCAACTCGAACAAGCCAATGACCTTTCTTAGTGCGCATGCAGCTTACCTTCGCGCTGCCTGGGGGAGTTGCTGATCCACGAGCGGCCGCTCCATACCTCCGCCAACCGAAGCCCTTTTGTCGGCCGATATGCCTCCTGCTCAGAGGATTCTTTCCTTGGTAGTCATAGTGCATCGCCTTGCATTGCCCAAGATGGAAATAGTGCTTCTGTGCAAGGGCACTCATCTCCTACATAGCAAGGATTATGTCATACCAACATCCGAAAAGGATAGGACGAAGGACTTTCAGCGAGTCACTGATGTCCCGACTCACGCGAATCGATTCGACGAACGCCGAAAGCTGAAGCTATGACCTCCATGAATAGATATATACTGCACTCAGCACTCCACGCACAGAGCCTTGCCAGCATGACTTTCGCGATCTCGCGGTTTCCCACTTGACATCATTGCCATTGTGAAGATGTCATTTTCAGAGAGTTCAAATTTGCTTCGAGGCTCCATGGCCTTGCTCTTCGCTTTGGCGAGTTTCATTGGTCTAGCCTCCGCGTCCATACTGCCAGATTGTGATGACAAGCCTCGGCTTTTCGAGCTAATTCTCACATGGGGGAAGGGGGCACCGGATGGCTTTGAAAGGGACATGATATTCATTAACGGCCAATTTCCGGGACCGACACTGGAGATGAATCAAGGAGATGATGTTGAAATACTTGTCCACAACCAACTGCCGTTCAACACAACCATTCATTATCACGGTATAATAGGGTGACCTCAGAAATGCATAATCAATTATACTGATCATGTGAGATAGGTATCGAACAGTACCGTACGGCGTGGTCTGATGGGGTCCCTGGCTTGAGCCAGCTACAAATACGACCAGGTGGGAAATTCACCTACAAATGGACAGCTACACAGCACGGGAGTTATTTCTATCACAGCCACGATAGAGGCCAGCTAGATGACGGGTTATACGGCCCAATTGTCATTCACCCGAAAGGAGACAGTACTGAGAAGCCGTTCAAGTTGATATCTGAGGATCCCAAAACGCTACATGCGATCGAGAAGGCAGCCGAAAATCCTATTCCTGTGGTTTTATCTGACTGGCAGCATATCCCATCAGGCGACAGATGGGACATCGGTGTGGCTGGTGGAGTAGAGTTGCCATGTTATGATTCATTCCTCGTGAATGGCCGTGGTCGTGTCAACTGCTTCGGTCAAGACAAAATCCAATCCTTACTCGATCCAGCGCAAAAGCAACTCCTGGCTTTGGTCAATCTAACCACGCTCACCGATAAGGGGTATGTAGTCTTCGTGTATTACCCAAGAATCACAATCTGACGTTCATATAGCTGCCTGCCTGCCGAAGCTCTAGTTGCTACATTGGGACCTGGTTTCTCTACGAATCTATCCGCTATTCCCGATTCGGTTTTCAATACTTGCGAGTCTACAGAGGGCTCATACGCGACTATTGAAGTCACAAAGAAGTCATGCGAAAAGGAGAAATGGGTAGCTCTTGACATCATTGGTACCTATGGTCTCCAGACAGCAGCTTTCTCAATTGATGAGCAAGTCATGTATGTCTACGCAGTTGACGGAGAATATATTGAGCCTACACTAGTCAATGCTATCGCCATTACGAACGGAG